TCTCCCTCTTTCTCTCCCAATCTGGTCAAATTGAAAAAGAAATAAAATGAAATAAAATATTCTTAAAAAGACTCACTTTTGTGAAAATGTTGATTCTTCCCAACTTCTCCTACAGATTTTACACAACCCCAGTCATAACCCTAGCACGTTATTTTGTGGAAGTCATAAATTGACTCTGAAGATTAAATGGCTATACAAAAGACTCAACTCAACATTAAAAGGAAAAGAACAAAATCAGAAGGTTAACCCCACCAACTTTAACATACAATAAAATGGTAATCAAGACAGTGTAATCAAGTAGTAGAAAAGGAAAAGATAAATAGATTGATGGAGCAGGAAGAACAGCCTAGAAACAGACCCACATAAATCTAGTCAACTAATCTTTGACAATGAAGGAAATACAATTGCAGAACAGAAAAAAAAATTTAAGAATTGGTGCAGGAATAACATCTGCATGCCAAAAAAAAAATCTAGACACATACCTTACACCCTTCACAACTCAAAATGAATCACAGAACTAAATATAACATGCAAAACTAAAAAATGAGATGTACTGATGGCAAATAAGTATACGAAATGAAATTCCACATCCCATGCCATTGGAGAAATGCAAATTAAAATAACAATAAGATACCTATTGGAAAGGTCAAAATCAAAGACACCTACATTAACTGCTGGTTAGGGAATTTCATTCACTGCTGGTGAGAATACAAAATATTACATCCCCATTAAAAGCACTCTGGGACCCAGCAGGTGGTATAGTAGTTAAGGTGCAATGTGAGTCCCAGACCCAGCAGCTTGAAGCTCATGCTGGACACGTGTGTGAGCAGGCCAAAAAGCCCAAGAGAAGGATGGAGGACTACAGCATGGCCATCCCCTCTTGGGGGTGAGTTCTTGTTTTCTGTCTCTGTCTCTGTGTCTACAGTGAGTGCACATACCCTATAACAAAAATCTCTCTTAGAAATAAATAAATAAATCATTGTGTTAGATTCTTACCAAACTAAACATTCTCTTACCATATGATTTGGCAATTGCAACTTTTGGTGTTACCCAAAGGAATTGAAAACTTACATCCACACAACAGCCTGTATAAGGATATTATATAGCACCTTTACTCATAATTGCCAAAACCTGAAAGCAACCAGGATGTCCCTTAGTAGGGAACAGAAAAATAACTGTGGCATGTCTAGACAATGGAGTATTATTTAGCACACACACAAAAAGTCTGTTAAATAACTACAGTGAGTAATGCATGTAAGTCCCAAGGTGGGAACCTCTCCTTGGCATGTCCAGCCTGTGTGGGTTCCATTTTTATTCCCCTTTTGCAGTATAGCAGCATGAGAGAATCTGGGCATGCATGTATGTTGATAGAAACCAGCAGATGTCGTGGTTACATTGCTGGATACCCACATGACCCACTGAGTTTGAGTCCCAGACCAGGTGGCTTAAAACACATGATGGGCATGTATGCATGCATGCCCGAGATACAAGGAGAGTGGAGTAAAAGGGATTATGGCATGGCCATCCCCTCCTCCCCCCGCCCAGAGGAGACTTCTCACTTTCCTCCTAGCCGTCTCTCTCTTTTTTTAAAGAATTATTTTATTTAACTTGGGACCAGCAGTTAGCATAATGGCCATGTCGCTGAACTCCCATGTAGTCGACGCGGTTCGAGTCCTGGACCCGGTGGCTTAAACTCACGTCAGGCGCGTGTGCGTGCGTACCCAAGATCCTAAGAGGAGAATGGAGGAGAAGGGATTGCGGCATGGCCATCCCCCCTGGGGGGTGATTTCTCACTTTCTATCTCTGTTTCTCTCTGTCTGTCCGGCGAGCGCACGTGCCCTATAGCAAAAACTTCTTGAAAAAAAATTATTATTTTATTTAACTTTATTTATTTTTAATGTTGACCAGAGAGGGACAGAGTGAGAGAGAAAGAGAGAGAGGGAAAGTGAGAAAGCAAGTTACCAGGTTTTGGACTTGAACCACGGTTGGCCATGTGGGAGTCCAGTACCCTTAACCACCATGCCACCTGCAGGCTCCCTCCCCCACCGTCTCTGTCTCTCTCTCACTCCTGAGCACATAAGCCCTAAAGTAAAATCTCTTGGAAAAAAAAAAAAAAGCTATAAACCCATGGAGAAAATTTAAATGCATATTATGAAGTGAAAGAAGCCATTCTGAAAAGGCTACAGACCGTATGACTTCAATACACATTGAGTATCTTTTATCCAATATTTAGGACCAGAATTATCATAAATCTAGATTTTTTTTTAATTTTTGAGTATTTGTGGATACATAATGAGATGGAACCCAAGTCTAAAACGAAAAGCATTTGTTTAATATACACCATATATACACATAGAGTGAAAGTATTTCTATACATTAGATCTAAAAATTTTGTACATGAAACAACTTTTTTCTCTCTCTTTTTTTTTTTTTTTGGAGAGGTTTTCGTCATAGGGCGCCATTTTTATTCCCCTTTTGCAGTATAGCAGCATGAGAGAATCTGGGCATGCATGTATGTTGATAGAAACCAGCAGATGTCGTGGTTACATTGCTGGATACCCACATGACCCACTGAGTTTGAGTCCCAGACCAGGTGGCTTAAAACACATGATGGGCATGTATGCATGCATGCCCGAGATACAAGGAGAGTGGAGTAAAAGGGATTATGGCATGGCCATCCCCTCCTCCCCCCGCCCAGAGGAGACTTCTCACTTTCCTCCTAGCCGTCTCTCTCTTTTTTTAAAGAATTATTTTATTTAACTTGGGACCAGCAGTTAGCATAATGGCCATGTCGCTGAACTCCCATGTAGTCGACGCGGTTCGAGTCCTGGACCCGGTGGCTTAAACTCACGTCAGGCGCGTGTGCGTGCGTACCCAAGATCCTAAGAGGAGAATGGAGGAGAAGGGATTGCGGCATGGCCATCCCCCCTGGGGGGTGATTTCTCACTTTCTATCTCTGTTTCTCTCTGTCTGTCCGGCGAGCGCACGTGCCCTATAGCAAAAACTTCTTGAAAAAAAATTATTATTTTATTTAACTTTATTTATTTTTAATGTTGACCAGAGAGGGACAGAGTGAGAGAGAAAGAGAGAGAGGGAAAGTGAGAAAGCAAGTTACCAGGTTTTGGACTTGAACCACGGTTGGCCATGTGGGAGTCCAGTACCCTTAACCACCATGCCACCTGCAGGCTCCCTCCCCCACCGTCTCTGTCTCTCTCTCACTCCTGAGCACATAAGCCCTAAAGTAAAATCTCTTGGAAAAAAAAAAAAAAGCTATAAACCCATGGAGAAAATTTAAATGCATATTATGAAGTGAAAGAAGCCATTCTGAAAAGGCTACAGACCGTATGACTTCAATACACATTGAGTATCTTTTATCCAATATTTAGGACCAGAATTATCATAAATCTAGATTTTTTTTTAATTTTTGAGTATTTGTGGATACATAATGAGATGGAACCCAAGTCTAAAACGAAAAGCATTTGTTTAATATACACCATATATACACATAGAGTGAAAGTATTTCTATACATTAGATCTAAAAATTTTGTACATGAAACAACTTTTTTCTCTCTCTTTTTTTTTTTTTTTGGAGAGGTTTTCGTCATAGGGCGCATGCGCTCGCCAGACAGAGAGACATAGAGACAGAAAGCGAGAAATCACCCCCTGGGGGGGATGGTCACGCCGCAATCCCTTCTCCTCCATTCTCCTCTCAGGATCTTGGGCACGCACGCACACACACCTGGCGTGAGTTTTAAGCCACCGGGTCTGGGACGCAAACCGTGGTCAACTACATGGGAGTCCAGCGACATAGCCATTACGCTAACTGCTGGTTCCCTACATGAAACAACTTTGTGTACACTGAACCATCAAAAAGCAAAGGTGTCACTATCTTGGTATCCCGTGGACAATCTGTAGTTGTTTGGCATCACCATTATTTGTGGCTGAATTTATAGGCTACCAGTAAACAATCATTTTCTTACACTGATCCACATGTAAGAACTTAATAGTCAGTACATGATCGAGATCTTCATTTTTTAGCTTTATTCATATCTTTCTTATTTTTCATTAACTTCTGTTCATCACTCAAAACTTCAACAGTTTATCCTTCTATCTCTTCAGGCTATACGAGGGAGGATTCTAACACCAAACTTTTATGAGACATTTCACATAATACTAAATATTCTAACAGCTTTACTTTTGTACTGTCCATACACATAAATGTTTCCTCTTTTTCTAATCATTCTTACCCATATGGGTATCTGCAGATCCTTTTTGAAATTTTCAACAATATATTTACACTACAGAGCAGAGAATAAACAACAATGGCAAAAACCACAGTGAGTAATGCATGTAAGGCCCATGTTGGGAATCTCTCCTTGGCATGTCCAGCCTGTGTGGGTTCCATTTGATTCCCCTTTTGCAGTATAGCAGCATGGGAGAAGATACATCACAGCTGGTGGAGACTGGGAAGGTCTTTTTCCCCTTAGAAATGCTGTATAAACTGCATGTCATGCACCTGCATTTTGACTTGTGGCCATCATATCAGTGCTTTAAAAGATTTTAGAGCATTTTAAATTTCAAATTTTCAGATTAAGGATGCTCAACCTAAAATATGACACTCTAAAAGTGGAAAAACGATGGAGACAATCATAATACCAGTGATGTTTTGAGACAGGGTAAAGGGAGAGATGAATAAACATAACACAAAGGAAGTGTACGGCTGTGAAAATACTGTGTATATTCTAAGGCTGGATATGTCATTACACATTTGTCAAAACCTATAGAGTGCATTTGTTTGAGTCATCGGCAATCTAATTCTACTCAAAATGTCCTCTAAAATTAATTATGACTCCTGAATTTAGTAACTCAATTGAGCTCCAAATTGAAACTCATGAAACAAGGCTTAGCCCATACTAGTCCAATAAATGTCAAGAAATTAAAAAGTGGTTTTAAATAGTATCTGAGAAAGATGTGATTCATAGAAACATGTGTTTACTTACTCCATGTCCAGAACATGCTAGTCCACAATTGTGTGCTGCATATTGAAGGAATCTTGACTCTACACATACACTGTCTATACAAATCTAAAGAAAACCACATGGAAAAACATTTTAAAATCAGAGAAATCCATCTACTATTACATTACAGTTAGTAATTGTTTAACATAAAATCACTACCAATCAATGCTATACATTTCCCTCTAAGAACTGCTATTGCTGCATCCTACAAAATGTAATGACTTATATTTTCATTTTCATTTAGTTTGAAATATTTAAAAACTTTTCTCAAGAATTATTTGATCTATGTGTTCTTTAGAAGTGTGCTGTTTAATCTCAAAGTTTTTTTGGGTTTTCATGTAACCCTCATGTAAACTATAGACTTTGGATGATAATAATCTGTCAGTGTAGGCTCACCAATTGTAACAAATGTATTCCTCTGGTGTGGGTTGTGGATAGTGAAGGAGGCTGTGCCATGTGAGAAGGAAAAAAGAACACAGAGACGTATGAGAACTTCCTATAACTTCTACTCAGTTTTGCTATAAGCCTAAAACTGCACTATAATATAAAGTCTATTTTTAAAATAAATCATTTATTTAAGTGATTATGGGCAGGAAAGCAGGTAGTACCAATGAAGTAAAATTAGCTGTAACAATGACAAGCAAAAAATCACAACCTATGAATTACCTTTATTATTATACTACCATGAAATGAAATCTAACAAAACTGCAAGGGGAGTTTCAAAAGTTTATGGGGTACACACACACACATATGTATACACACATATGTATACTTTTTTCCAAAAAGTAAAATAACCCTAACAGAACTGAAATCAAATTTGTACAGCATAACACCATGTTCTTTGTTGAAGATGATGTATATGGCAATATCCTCCGTTTGTGTATCATGCACTAGATGTATGCTTTGAAGAACCATACTCTACCCCCTCAGAGATGTACAAAAATTAAATGTAGATAGGAAATTGCTTTTTTATTATTTTTTGAGGGGTTTTGCTCCCCAGAATGACAGAGAGACAGAGAGATAGAAAGTGAGAAATCACCCACTCCCCTGGGGGGGGGATGGCCACGCCGCAATCCCTTCTCCATTCTACTCTTGGGATCTTGGCCACAAACACACACCCAGCATGAGTTTAAGCCACTGGACCCAGGACTCGAACTGCAGTCGACTACATGGGAGTCCAGTGACATAGCCATTACGCCAACCACTGGTCCCATTAAGCCCAGGTTGCCTTCTTGAGCTCTGACTCATTCAGTGGGGAAACTTGATCTGGATGTTTTCTAACTAATTTAAACAGAACCTGTACAAAGCTGCACTCATCTCTGCCTTCCCTGAGCTCTTGTGTGTCATCCTTTACCTAGCCACTGGGCCAGAAACTACGTCATTGTTCATTTTGGACTCTCTTCTCACTGTGTTGTTCAGTTGTTCGGGTTTGTTTGTTTGTTTGTTTTTAATTTACAGCAAACGTCACTCAAACTATAAAACCACTGCATGTGGTACTAACATATCCATTTGCATGGAAGGATACCAAGGCTTAGCTGTATTATCTTACGTTCACAAGAAGAGGGAGAGACGGGAGCTCACACACACACACACACATCATGTGATGCCTTGTGCCACCCCAGGACTCTACGCGGACTTCGCCAATAAGAAACCTTCACTGAATGCGGCCCCTCAGCCTTGAACTTCTAAAGCCCTGAGCTGAATAAAACTTTGTTGCTTGTAAGTTACCCTATCCCTGGTATTCAGTTGTTAGCAACAGGAAAAGGAAGAAAAAAACAAACAAACAAAAAATGACAAAAACAATGACTCATCAAATAACTGGCAGAGTCCAAATTCAACTCTAAGTGCGTGGACCTTAAAAACCTACACTTCGTATTTTCTGATCAACAAAGTTCAGGTCAGTAATTGAGATTTTAAAGATTTTTACCTCTATGTTCTCTCTAAATTTGGGGGGCTTCAGGGATAACAAATTATAACAATAAAAGCCAAACTACATTTAGCTCTCAGTATGTGCTAGGCATTATGCTAAGCACTTTCACTGTTGCACCTAGTAATCTTCACAGTAACGCTATAGAATAAATGCTATTATTATCCACGCTTAACATTCAGCTAAGGTAGCACAGACTGGTTAGAAAACTTGCAAAATATCAAACAACATTTTGGTGAAGATCGATTGAAAACAGCCTGGTCCGAGCTGCGCTACTAGGTCACAAAGACATTGTTTTACGAGGCGAGATTTCTTTCTATTCCAAAAACTAGAACAAGTTTCCCTGCTATAGAATACTTAACCTGATACTCCCAACGCCACTCCCCTTCTCACTCAGCCTCCAAATAATTGGAGTGTTCTTGCTCGTAATATTGAAATTCGGAAGGAAATGAAACATTTCCATTTCCCTCTTACTAGCTAAAGACCAGCTTAAGCTAGATTCAATTTCTCCTCCAAATGTGTAAGGTTATATGGTACTAGAAATGAGTTGAATTTTGATACTTAAGCACAAATATTTACTAAAGCAATGACTAGAACTTGATTTACTATCAAACGGATTTTAAATAATTTACCCTCCCAGTATCACAGTGAGCACCACTTTTGACTATCATTGGGTCTGGGTCTGTGTCCTTCAATCCGTAGTCTACAGATATGCATACATGATCCCGCACATAAGCATAAATTACAGCACCATTTTCTTGCTGGAAAGGAGTTCGATGAGGGTAGGTACAAATTAATTTTCCACATATAAGATTCCTGCAAATATAATAAAATCATATGACTATTCTTTTAAAGAATTATTTATTTATTTATTTATTTAATTCCATTTGTTATTATTATTTTTTTTTAATTTGATCAGAAACAGAGAGAGAGAGAAGAGGAAAGTGAGAAAGGAAATCACCAGTCCGGGACTCAAACCGCAGTCGGCCACATGGGAATCCAGCACCTTTAACCACTGCACCGCCATTAAATATTTATTAGAAATGCTTTAGATTTGCTTTCTCTGAACCCCACCCCCCAAAAAAGAGAATGGTTCTCCATTAATGGCAATATGTCTATGGAAAATGTAATGCTTTAACACTAACATTTAAAGTAAAAATTTAAAAAACATAAATCCATTGATCCAAGTTTATCTTTCAAAGGTACTAATGATCTTTTATTCACTGTGAAGATTATAGGTTAACTCAAATAATTCTGTCCAACATTTTATATATTCCTATGGAATGCTAGAAAGATGAGCCTAATATTAAATATGATACAAGTCCCATTTAAAATGATCCAGATGAAATACAGAGATTTAAAAAGACACATTCTAACATAGCATTTAAGAGAGGCTTCTTGGGACCAGCAGATGTGTAATGGTTACATCGCTGGACACCCATGGTTTGAGTCCTGGACCCAATGGCTTAAAACTCATGCCAGGCATGTGTGCGTGTGTGCCCAAAATCCCAAGAGGAGACTGGAGGAGAAGGGATTGTGACATGGCCATCCCCTTGGGCGGGGGGTGATTTCTCACTTTCTCCCTGTCTCTCTCTGTCTGGCAAGCACATGCACCCTATAGCAAATCTCTCTCTCCAAAAGAGAGAGAGAGAAAGAGAGAGGCTTCTTACAGACGATACCATCTAAGACATAGCTTACAAATTAGTAAACTTTTGACATGAAGAGTTATATATTTCTAAACAAAAGTGACAGCAGGAGAAAATCAAGGAAATGAAAAGCTACATGGTATGTTTGCAGTCTACAAATTTTATGAATGTGTAAGTATGCTTTGCTAAATTGTATCTAGACCAATGTCCAATACATAGTCTTAATAAAAGCTCTATTAAAATAAACTTAGAACCCAAATCTCTGGCCATGATATCTTTTGGGTATGAAAGAGCTAGTTCTTCAGATTCAAGAGAATCAAGCTTCATTTTATAGACACTGAGCAATCTTCATTTTGGGGAAGTAACCCAGTGGATGGTGATACTATCTTTATAAGGAAAATTAGCAAGTTTGGAAAGGAAAGATACAGAGTGTATTGAATTTCAAGTCTGGATTGGATCTAGTAGTCTAATCCTCATCCACCTATAAATGTTTAAAAGTAAGATAAAATGTTAGCCTCTACCGTAACAAGAAAAATGTCAGGGCCAGAGACAGGTTGAGATTCACCCCCATTCAACTACGACGCTTGAAACCACTGGCATGAATGAGAAAGCAAAAGGTAAAAAGTGTAAGTATCTTAGAACCAAGGTGTCATTCATATTTTTATATCATACCTCCATCCACAGAATACTTTTCTGTTATTTTTATCCCTGCAGTTCCCAAACCTGTCTGTTTGACTTTGTATTTCTTCATAGCAGGCAAATGGAGCATTTTTTGAACCTATCAAAGATAGAAATATATTCGTATTAAAACATATATTTATTTTTCACCTTCCTCCATTTCCTCATATATTACATGTTTCCTTTGCCTTTCTCCATTGTTATCTAATAACCATACTCATGGTTCTTACTCCTCTTCATTTATTCTCACTCAGATAAGACAAAAGATAGAAGGAGGGTAGAGTTACAGAGATGCAAACTAAGAGGGGCTCCATAAAGAAAGCAGTAGAGAGATCATACAAGAAAACTGCATGTACTTGTGCTCCTACATTCTGAGCGGGGACTCACAAAAAGCCAGGTATACAAGGAAACCAACGACATTTCTTTGATGATAAAAAACGTTTGCATTTTCAGGTAGTCTAATCTAAAAAGATCAAAATTACTAACCTCTATATATTTACCATCGTTTCCCTTCACTGACACATGGTCGTTGTCATTTTTCGTTTCTGAATTAAGAACTACCAAAAACATGGCTGCTTAAAATAATATCCATTTATTATTTCACCGTTTTTGTAGGTCAGAAGTACAGCAAGGCACACCCGGGGTCTCTGCTGAGGGTCTCAGTAGGCTGAAATCGAAGCTGGAGCTGCACTGTCATCTGAGGCCGGTCCTCACTAGAACTCAACTGGCTGTTAGCAGAATCCCATTTTGTTCCAATTACAGGCTGACTTCCAGCAATTCCATTTTCTGGCTGACTTCCAGGGTTTGTTTTTGGCTCTTAGGAATTTCCCTAAGATCCTTGTCATAAGGCCCTTTCAAAACACAGCATATTACATGCTTCAAACCAACAAGAAAATCGTTCTGACTTCTCTCATATTTTTTTTTTGATTGGTTTCTGCTATAGGGCGCATGCACTCACCAGACAGACAGAGAGAGACAGAGAGATAGAAAATGAGAAATCACCCCCCAGGGGGGATGGCCACGCTGCAATCCCTTCTCCTCCATTCTCCTCTCAGGATCTTGGGCACGCACACATATGCGCCCGGTGTGAGTTCAAGCCACCAGGTCCGGGACTCGAACCGCTGTCAACTACGTGGGAGTCCAGCAACATAGCCATTGCGCTAACTGCTGGTCCCTGACTTCTCTCATATTTTAAGGGCTCACATGATTAGTTCAGATCCACTCAGGGTGGTCTTCCTTTCTATTAACTCAAAACTTACTGAATATTGGCCTCAATTACATCTTTAAAATTGCTTCATCTTTATAACCTAATCACAGAAGTATTATTAAATCATATATTCACTGGTTCCACCCCAACTCGAAGGGAGGGAATTATCTAAGGTGTATATTTCCCTAGCACAGTGACCATCTATAACATGAACCTCTAGAAGCCTAACTACCTCTTCAAGAAATGTAGGCAATAATATCTCCTTCAATGGATTGTTATGCGAATTTAAAAACATTTAGTCACTGCTAATTCCCATCTAATCATTCTGCATTCTGTTTTAAGATCAAGAGGGTTTTTGTTTTTTGTTTTTTTTCCTGTTCACCTCTTCCTCCCATGAATTATGTATTTTTCTTTCCAGTATCCTTTTTAAACTCTTTACCTTCCCATAATCCTGTCTTTCCACCATATTTAGACATTGGTTCATCAAAGGAGACTGTCAGATTCTGTGAGGAGAAGCAATGTTAATTCTGAGTGTTCACAATGTACCACTTTAGTAGTGAATCTGAGATGCCAATGCAGGGTTCACTAAACATGAGATTATCCGGAGAAAATCTGAACTGGAAAAATTAGTTAGGTTTGGAATAATAATGTAAAAAATATTATATGTTTGTCACAATGTAATCAAATGAATTCTGCTTAAAGTAATGGTCTTCATATAGCCTAATTTCATTAACGAACCTACAGCACTTAAACTTATGAGCTCTTTATTTTTTAGTATTTTTCTATATATTCAGGTGGTCTGCTGTTAAGTACCTATGTATTTACAATTTTTCTATCCTCTTTAAGACTTGGCCTCTTTATCATTATATAATAAAACATTATTTTTTCTACCCTTTCATTTTCAGTCTATGTGGGCAATTAAAGTCGCATTAGGTCTCTTTATAACTAGCTCTTATTGCTTTTTTAATTCATTCAGCCACCCTGTGTCTTTTAAATGAAAAATGTAATCCATTTATATTTGTGGTAATTATTGATAGATAAAGATTTACGACTGCTATTGCATTCACTGGTTACTGCTTATTTTGTAAGTCATTTGTTCCTTTCTTCCTCCTGCTGTCTTCCTTGTAGACTGCTGATTTTCTGTACTATTATACTTTGATTCCTTTATTTTCTGTGTATCTCCTATATATATACTGCTTTATGATTACCATGAGGTTACGGAAAACACCTTGTAGTAATAACAGCCTATTTGCAGCTGATAACAACTTAAATTGCATTTTGAAAACTACCTTTACTTATTCTGTCACATTTTTTAGAAGTTCTTGCCATAGGGTGCATGCACTCACCAGAGAGAGAGAGACAGAGACAGTGAGAGGGAAAGTGAGAAATCGCCCCCCCCTTCCCCCAGGGGAGATGACCACGCCACAATCCCTTCTCCTCCATTCTCCTCTGAGATTTTGGGCATGCACGCACATGCATTTGCTATGATTTTCAAGCCACCTCGTTCAGGACTCAAACTGCAGTTGGCCATGTGAGAGTCCAGCCACATAACCACCACTCTATCTGCTGGATCCCACATTTTGTTTCTGATATTAAAATTTATATCTTTTTATATTGTATATAGACCTTAACAGATTATTGCAGCTGTGATTATTTTAAGAGGTTTTTAATATTCATACTTAACATTCATACTATAGGCATAAGTGATTTTCACATCACAACTTCTGTATCTTATATTCTAAATTTGACTCTTTACTTACTTTGATCCATGTATTTGATCATTTTAGATGTTTTTGTTAGAATTAATATTTTGCTTCAGCCTAAAGAATTCTCTTTAGCATTTCTTGTAAGACAGGTCTAGTGGTAATGAATTCTCTGGATGTCTGTTTGCTTGCCCACAAAGTGCTGAGAAATCCTCTGATAGCATTATGTATATTCACATGTATAGAATAATTTTTTTCCCTCCTGCTTCTTTCAAAATTCATTCTTTATTGTTTGTTGTCTTATTTGGATTTGATACCATAAAAAACTCTTAGCTTCCTGTACCAAGATATTTTCTTTTCCACAAATTTGAAAAGTCTTCAACTATTCTTTTTTAGGGGCTTTATGACAGTTATTTTTTAAAGTTTATTATTATTTTAGTTTTAGAATTTACTGGGTTTTAGCTTGTTTTTTTAAAAAAAATCCCTATACTGCTCAAATAGGTCAGCCTGTCTCCAAACCTCCTATATTCTGATCCAACTATTATTTCTTTTTCTTTTTACATTTTTAATTTAATTTTCTTTTATACATTCAATCACATTATTTAGCTTACAAAGTGAATATTTCAACAGGTGAACATTGCTACCTACTCCAGTTGATAAAACTATAAAATATCTTTAACAGATAATACCACATTTCTTTGTCCCATTAATGCTTTGCCTCTCTATTTTTCTTCTAAATGTCCTTCCTCAGACCCTACTCTTCCACACACTATATCTGGTATTTACATCTATTTATTGTGTTTCTATATCCTTTAGTCAATTAGTTTCAGTCATAGAGTGCGGACACTCGGTATATATTAAGTTGGGACATACAGTCTCTCTCCTTCATAGCCTGGCTTGCTTCACTCTGCAGTAAATCTCCCATATTCTTCTACTTTCTGTCAAAAGCCAGGGTTTTGTTGTTTTTTATGGCTTAATAGTATTCCATAGAGTATATGTGCCACAGTTTTTCTACCCATTCATCTGTTCATGGGCATTTGGGGGTTCCATGTCTTAGCAATTGTGCATAGTGCCGCAACAAACATTGATGTGCAAGCACTTTTCCATTCAGAATTCTTTTGTCTTTTGGGTAGATACCAAGGAGTGGGATTGCTGGATCATATGGTAGTTCTATTTATAGATTTTTTGAGAAATCTCCAAATTGTTCTCCACAGTGGTTGGACCAATTTTCATTCCCACCAGCAGTGTAAGAGGGTTCCCCTTTCACCACACCCCCACCAGTACTTATCTTTTTTTTTTTAATCTTAGTCATTCTGACTGGGGTTAGGTGGTATCTCGTTGTTTTGATCTGCATTTCCCTTACGATGAGGGATGTGGAGCATTTTTTCATATGTCTTTTGGCTATTCATATGTCATCTTTAGAGAGTGTTTTTTTCAACTCATTCTCCCATCTTTTAATAGGGCTGATCATCTTTTTTCCAAACAGCTGCTTGAGTTCCTCGTGTATTCTGGTTATCGGTCCCTTATCCGACACAAAGTTTACAAAAATATTTTCCCGTTCTGAGGGCTGTCAAGTCACACTAATTACTGTGTCTTTTGCCATGCAAAAAAACTTCTTAGAAAAGACAGTCATAAAATTTGTCTGGAATCATAAAAGACCCCATATTGCCAAAGCAATTCTGCACAAGAAGAGTAGAGCATGGTACTGGCACAGAAACAGACATGTAAACTAATGGAACAGAATAGAGTCCCCAGCAATAAATTCTCAAACATACAGTCAACTGATTTTTGACAAGGGGTACCAGTTAATACAGTGGGAAAGGAAAACCTCTTCAGCAAATGGTGCTGGAACAACTGGATTTCCACCTGTAGAAAGATGAATCTGAACCCCGGCCTCTCACCTTTGACAAAAATCAAGTCAAGGTGGATCAAGGATCTAAATCCTTGTACCTTCCTACCTGTTCTCTCTTTTCCTAACTCTTAAGAATGTTTATGCTGTCTTCTATCTTCATGCTGTGTTTTGAGTCTTGTAGGTTTCCATTATACATTTTAATTACTTTTTTTTTTTTTGGAGAGGTTTTTGCTATAGGGTGCATGCACTTGCCAGAAAGACAGAGAGAGACAGAGAGACAGAAAGCGAGAAATCACCCCCCAGGGGGTATGGCCACACCGCAATCCCTTCTCTTCCATTCTCCTCTCGGGATCTTGGGCACACATGCACACACGCAAGCCTGGCATGAGTTTAAGCCGCCGGGTCTGGGACGCGAACCACAGTCAACTACATGGGAGTCCAGTGACATAGCCATTATGCTAACTGCTGGTCCCATCTTTTTCATCTTCTGATCACAGACTTTCAAATAACCTGTCTTTGAGCTAACAGAGATTTCCTTTGCTTATAAATTCTGCTATTTAATTCCCTACTGCATTTTTCATTTTTCATTTTTCATTGCACTCTTCAATTCAAACATTTCTGTTTGGTTCTTCTGTTATTGTTTTTACCTATAAAGCTTCTCAGTTTGCTCATTTACTGTTTTCCTGATTTTGTTCATTGTTCCTCTGTGTTCACTTAAAGTCCACCTAGTATCCTTAGGACAATTATTTTTAATCCTTTGTCACGCAAGTTGAATATATCCATTTCTATAAGTCATTTATTAGGACATTATTGAGTTATTCACTGGTGATATGTTTCACTTGGCTTTTCATGCTTTTTATGACATGGCCACGATACCTGCACACTTAATGGAACAGTCACCTTTCCCAGGGCTAGAAATTTTTTACTGGGGAACAACCTTCCTAGAAGGTGGGTACGAGGACACTGACTGAGGAGGATTAGGTAGTTCTGTCTCAGAGAGGACACAGTATTGCAGTCTCCATGAAGTTCAGTCAGATGATGTTGACATTAGCAGACTTCACGGATCCTCGGGAATTCAGGCTGTGGTGTCCACAGAGGCAATGAAAACTATTGAAATTTTCAGTATCAGAGGATATTAGTAAGGTCTCAGATTCTTTTTTTTCTCCCACCAGAAGCAGACATGGCCGTAGGGGATCCCTTGTGTACCCAGGTCTGGATCCCTTGTACCAGGTCTGATGCATAGTTCCTATGGAGAACCCACTGAGCCAGGATGTGAAGCACAGGCACACACGGAGAGACCAAGGCTATGGCATCCACAGCAGTGGTGCCTGAGGCACAAGTGCACCCACTTTCTCTTTGGTAATGAACATGAGGTGTATTTTTGGAATGACCATGACACAGCCAGTACCTGAAACATAGGTTTGCATGGAGCCATAGTCATGTCTCAGGTCAAGGGTGCAAACTAGCCCATAGTATCTCTGAGTCTGAGGTATAAAGACATCCAGTGCAGGCATGGATCCAAGGTCTGGGACACAGATGTGCAAGGAGCTACCGCAACCCCAGGAGCCAGGAGATAGGTTAGTTCTCTGTGACTGTGGTTCAAACACCAAAGGTGCAGGCACTCTAGGAAGGTCTGCAGAGCCAGGATCCATAGCTCATAGCAGAATGTGACTGGGAAACTGGAGAGGTGTTGGTCAAGGGGTACAAAGTTTCAGTTATACAAAATGAGTAAGTTCAAGAGATCTAACGAACAACAATGTAATAATAGTGATAATATTATATACCATATAATTACATATTAAAATATAAGTATAATAATTGTGATTTTATATTATATGTATAATATGTATATAAGTATGTATATTTTAAGAATTATATGCTTAAAATTTGCTAAGAGGGAATGTCTCAAGATTTTTTTTTTAAAAAAAGGAAAATGATAACTATGTGAGATGATAGATATGTTAGTTAGCTTGACCGTGGTAAATATTTCACAATGTGTACATACATCAAGACATGCACCTAAAAATATGTCTTTTTTTTGTCAATTTATTTCAATAGAGATGAAAACATTTTAAGCTAGATATTAAACAGAAAAAATATATATAAACATACATAATTCTTCCCATTGTTTTGGTAATGTTAATAAAATACCAAGGGAGAACACTTTAGAAATAACAAAGACATAGGACCAGCAGATGGCGTAATGGCTATGTCGCTGGACTCCCATGTAGTTGACTGCAGTTCGCGTCCTGGACCCAGTGGGGTAAACTCACATATGGCACATGTGTATGCGTGCCCAAGATCCTGAGAGGAGAAAGGAGAAGGGATTGTGGAGTGGCCATCCCACCCGAGGGGTAATTTCTCACTTTCTATCTCTCTGTTTCTTTCTGGCGAGCGCACACACCCTATAGCAAAAACCTCTTAAAAAAAGAGAGAAGGAAATAACAAAGACATTACCTTTTCCATAAATGCTTTCACAACGCCTATCAAGATCGTGGCAGTCTCCATCATAACAAAAATACTTGTCATTTTGGCAGGTGCGTCCGTTGATTATAGTTACATCTGGAGGACATTCTGCTGAGCTTCCATTACAAACCTCAGCGATATCACATTCGGGATGTGCTTTGGGCCTACATTCAGTGTTTGCACTTGCATACTAATAGAAAGTAGAATATGAAATTAAGCATTACGTATAAGATCATTGTTTAACATTTTTTTCAAAACCATTTGTACTTTTGATCTATTCATACATTAATGTCTGCTAATACCTTTTTATATCCTGGGTCATTGAAAAGTCATGATGTATTTTTGCATAGAAAACTAAGTCATGACTTTTCTGATGACCCAATAAATAATTATGTTAATCACATCACAAAATAAGTTGAATATTAGCAACTAAGATGAGATAAGACATACATACACAAAAATGTGTTAACTCAGATCTGATATGCTGAGCCAAAGCTTTATCTGTAGTTTTAGTACAAAGTAGGAAAATTATTATCACTTTTACTCCAGGAAAATTATTTCATCTGTGTGAAAATATTGTAATTTAGTCCATTTCCAAATAAAATATATAAGCCATAATTTGTATGTATCAAATATGTTCAAATTCTATGACAAATGTGAAACAGAAATAATTGAGAATGATCAGAGGAAAACAGACAAGTGATTAAAGAAGCTGCTTAGGGGCCAACAGGTGGTGTGGTAGTTGAGATGCTAGGATTCGAGCCTCAGACCTAGTGGCTTGAAAATCACACCTGGCATGCATGCCCAAAATCCCAAGGAGGAGAAGAGATTGTGGTGTGGCCATCCCCCTGAGGGGTGAGTTCTCACTTTCCCTCTCTCTGTCTCTGGTGAGCTCATGAATCCTATAGTAAAAACCTTTAAAAATTTTTTTAAAAAAGGAAGAAGAAGAAGCTATTCAACTACAAGAGTCTTTGGAAGTTAATAAACTTAAGTATAATCTATCGTCTCAATTATCTTACGGTTAATGAACTCTTCCAGATGTAGACTCTGCAAATTTATATACATAATCTTAAATGGACACATGTCTCAAACATCTTAACTTTTCCGTTAACAATAAAATAATTACAGAGGTAAGAATATAACCACACAGTAAGATTCTAGAAAGAAAACATAGAACTACGTCAGTCAAAGATAATCAAGAAGATAGAACTTATGGTAGATAATTCACAGAAGTATTCTCATTGGAGAAATCTGTTGGAAGAACTGAAAATGAAACAGGGAACAGGACTTGACATCTTTACCATATAAGCTAAAATGTGATATTTCAGTCAAATAAACTTTAAACAAGTTCATAGTTGAAATTTTGTGCTACATGTATCATTTGGAAAATGTTAGTTGTGATGTTTTATTTTGTTTATATTTACGGAAAACTGCTGTATCTTTCAACTACTTATGTAGAGATCCTTACTACAACCAGTAACAACATTTTTATTTAGAAAAATATAAATATTAGATAGAGTGAATGAATAATGGTCTCTTTTGATGGAAATCTTCTGTACTGAAAAATTCTATAATAGCTCTCAATCCAGGTTTTAAAGTTAGGGAAAATATCAGCATTAGAAGAGGGTAATGAAAGTTCACAAAATCAGAAACTGATTCTGAATGATCTTTTCCTTTATTGGAAAAGCCATTTATTTTTACTAACAACTATAGGTCTAATTGTTGTCAAGTATCCTATGCATAATCCATTTTCATATTTGGGATGGGTTAATAAACTCAGATCTTACCTGGCAGTCCTTGCAGCACAGCCCCTCACTGCACTGGACCCCAGTCTTCAGTGTACACGTCTGGAAGTTACAACAGCTGTTTGGTCCACATTCCTAGGAAGGAGGGACATGTACAAGTGAAATACATAAAGAACAATAATACAAAGTTTGGTAGGAGTTATATTTGCTGGACTGAATTTAAAAACACTAATGTAGGGCCCTTATTTCAAGTCATAACAGAGTAACTGGTACCTCACTTACCGTCCTATCCAACTAAAAAACTGGGGGGAAAGCACGAAGCAACTTTTTTCAGAAATTAGGTAACAGGCAATTTAGACAGATCCTTCAGAGAAGAGAAATAAGGTAAGCCCTAATTCACCAACTTATCTGGAAATACTTCAAGCAGGGCACAATGATCTATCCCAGTTACTTGTAAAGACAAAAATGGCAGTTGCTCAATTAGTGGAGCAGATCATTGTTTTTATTTTGTTTTGTTTTGTTTTTTGGAGAGGTGTTTTTTTGTTGTTGTTTTTGTTTGTTTGTTTTGTGTGTGTGTGTGGGTTTTTTTTTGCTATAGGGCTCCCCAGACAGACATCCCCAGGGGGGATGGCCACACCGCAATCCCTTCTCCTCCATTCTCCTCTTGGGATCTTGGGCATGCAGGCACACACATCCAGCGTGAGTTTAAGCCACTGGGTCCGCGACTCGAACCGCGGTCGACTACATGGGAGTCCAGCGACAGCCATTACGCTAACTGCTGGTCCCATGGGGCAGATAATTGTTGAAAAGTGGGTAGCCTAAAGAAAGAGCCCCAGATTTCTGCAGTGGTCATCCATCATTGTGAGCCTTTAACTGAGCTATGTTTGCATAACAAAGAAAAACTACTAAGGAAACAAAATTCTTTCAGGACATGGAAAGCCAAAAAATCACCAGCACTCGGTAGAAGATATAAGGATTCTGACTAAGTTACAGTCCAAAGTCTTCATTGAACAGCAAGGGTATTGAGTAGAAACTCAGAAAGATCTCATATAAGGTTGACTAACTTCAGGGAGAAAGTTATTCTAAACTACATTTGGCAAGCTTAAAGATAAGTTTCAAAGAGATCAAGTTACTTAACAAGAAATTTATTTATTTTTAAATAAGAAGTAGACATTATGTTGTTTTTTTAAAATTGTTATTAAATTTTTAAAATTAATTTATTATTATTATTTTAAATTTGCTATAAGGCACATGTGTTCATCAGAGACAGACAGAGAGAGAGAAAATGATAAAGCAAGTTGCCAGGTCTGGGACTCAAACCATGGTTGGCCATGTGGAAGTCCAGGGTCCAATCACCATGCCACCTGCTGGCCCTGACAAGCAATTTAAAAGTGACCATAATATATTCTAATACCCTTTAAAGGAGAAAAAAAGAAATAAGACATTCCACATAACAGTTGCAGTATCTAGCTGCCATTTAAAAACACACCTGGGGGAAAATCCACTCCACAGAGAACAGACCAAGTTGCGGGGTGAGCTGCACAGAGAGAGAGCTGCAGAGAGACTGTGACTCATCTCCTCCCACGTGCCTTTAAACTCTCAGGTGTGTTAACTGGGATCTGGAGAGTCCCACTCTTCCTGTTCCCCTCCCTCTATGGCATTTGAACATCCACATAGAGAACGGGACAGGTTGTAGGGTGAGCTGCAGGGACACAGAACTCCAGAGAGACCACAGCTCACCTATTCTCACCAGTGACTTTTGGAGTACCTGGTGCCCTTTGAGACTTCATATTGTTCTGGTCTACGCAACATGCATAGTGCTTCATGCAAATTATATTTCTCCCACTAGCTACATCTTCCAGCTTAGTCTCAGGTACACCTGGTCCAAGCACTTCAAGCTGGTTACATTCACCATTCTCTGATGGAAACATGAGGCCCTCTTCAAAGAACACATCAGAAAAGTGGAATGCATCTTTCCCCCTGACATTACAGAATTAACTCCAGGAAATTAGGAAGAAACATATAATTCATCAGATGACCAGAACCATCAGAGAAGAACAAGAAATATGAGAAACTAAGAGAAAAATCTCTCGCTCAAGGGAAACAAACAACACCTCATTATCCACAGTCAGTACATAGAATTCATGAGAATGTCAGATAAACAATTTAGAATATTCGTTGTGATGAAACAATGAATGCAAGAAAAAAGAGACAATGAGCCCCAGGAGATGCAGAAGTCTTTCCACGATTTCAAAGAAAAACTAGACACCATAAAAAATAATCTAATGGAACTGTTAGAGATGAAGACTATAATACAGGAAATCAAAACCTCCCTTGAAAGTATTAAAAGCATATTAGGGGAACAGCAGTTGGTGTAACGGCTATGTCATTAGACTCCCATGTAGTTGACCATGGTTCAAGTCCCAGACCGAGTGGCTTAAACTCATGCCGGGTGCGTGTGCATGTGTGCCCAAGATCCCAAGAGGAGAAGGGATTGTGGTGTGGCCATCCCCCCAGGGGGTGATTTCTCATTTTCTGTCTCTGTCTCTCTCTGTCTTTCTGGCGAGCACATGCACCCTATAGCAAAAACCTCTCAAAAAAACAAAAAAAGCATAATAGATTATGTAGAGGATCAAATCTTGGATGTAGAAGACAAAACCTCTGACCTAGAAAAATAAATCACCAAAAAGAATGAAAAAATAATTTTAAAAAATGAGGATAATATATGGGAAATACTAGATACCATTAAATGCCCAAGCATCCAAATGATTCATATCCCAGAAGGTGAAGAAACTAATAAGGGTATTAATATTCTATTTCACGGAATCCTGGAAGAAAAATTTTCAAACCTAGAGAAGCATTCAAACATCCAGACCCAATAAAAACATAGGACTCAAATAGAATCAACCCAAGAAGATCCTCTCCATGGCATATCATAGCCAGATTGGCCACAATCGCAGATAAAGATAAGATTCTAAAAATGTCAAGAAAGAAAAATCAAGTTGTTTACAAAGGTTATTCCAGAAAAAGATAAGATTCTAAAAATGGCAAGAAAGAAACATCAAGTTGTTTACAAAGGTTATACCAGCAAGCTAACATGGTACCTACCTCTTGGTGGAAACAATGCAAGCAAGAAAAGAATGGGAAGATACAGTCAAAGTGTTACAAGAAAAACAATTTCAACCAAGATTACTATATTAGCAAGATTATCTTTTAAGTGAGAAGAAAAGATAAAAACATTCTCAGATAAACGAAGACTAAAAAAATTTACCAACATCAGACCAGTTCTTCAAGAAGTACTGAAGAGAGTACAATACCAGGAAAACTAAAGAGAGACAGAAAGAAATAAGAGAAAAAAAAAGTAACCAAGAAAATGGCTAACATAATGGTAGAGACAAGTTCAGAAGTATCAATAAAAATGTTAAATGTTAATGGTCTAAACTTTCCAATCAAGAGACACTGACTGGCTGAATGGATAAAAATCAGATACCCTCTAGCTCTTTTCTAGAAGAAACACACTTTTTTTCTTGCATTCATTGTTTCATCACTACGAATATTCTGAATTGTTTATCTGACATTCTCATGAATTCTATTGTACTGCCTATGGATAATGCATGGATAAAGACAAACATAGATTAAAAGTGAAGGGCTAGAAAAAGGTATTCCATGCAAACAGAAACCAAAGAAGGGCAAGAATTACGATACTGATTTCAAACAAAATAAGCTTTAAGACAAAAACTGTAAGAAAAGTAGGGCATTATATAGTAGAAAAAGGGCTAATTCATCAAGAAAATATAATGATTATAAATATCTATGCACCCAACTGAGGAGCATGCAAATACATGAAGGAAAGGCTGTTAGATCTAAAAGGAGAGATAACAACACAGTAATTGTTGGGGATCTCAACAACCCCACTATCTCCTTTGGACAGATCATCTAGACAAAAAATAAGAAGAGATACAAGATCTAAATGACACCATAAATCTAATGGACTTGATAGACATCTACAGAACCTTCCACCCAAGAACCACAAAATATACATTTTCTTCCCCCTACATAGAACCTTTTCAAAGACTAACCACATGATAGGGCTCAAAACAAGCCTTTACAGATTCAAAGGCATAGAAACTATATCCAGCATCTTCTCGGACTGTGAAGGAATTAAACTTCGTTTTACTTTCAGAAAAAAATACTCATAAAAACACAAACAAATGGGACCAGCAGTTAGAGTAATGGCTATGTGGCTGAACTCCCATGCAGCTGACCGCAGTTCGAGTCCTAGATGAGGTAGGTGGCTTAAACTCATGCCCGGCGCGTGTACATGCGTGCCCAAGACCCCAAGAGAAGAATGGAGGAGAAGGGATTGCAGCGTGGTCATCCCCCCTGGGGGGGGTGATTTCTCACTTTCTATCTCTCTGTCTCTCTCTGTCTTTCTGGCGAGTGCATGCGCTCTATAGCAAAACCTCTCAAACACACACACACACACACACACACACACACACACACACACAAATGGAAACTAAACAATCTACTCCTGAATGACTTCACAACTACTGAAAAAATTAAGACTGAAACCAAAAGATTAATTGAAACCAATGATAATGAGTACACGAGTTTCCATAATCGTTGGGATACCGCAAAAGTAGTCATAAGAGAGAAGTTCATGGCAATTACTGCACATGAGAAAAAGATGGAAAGGTAGCAAATAGACAACCTAACATCATGTCTCAGGGAATTGGAAAAACAACAACAAAAACGTCCAAAACATGCCAGTAGAAAGGAAATAATAAAGATTTGTGCAAAAATAAATGAACTACATAGAAAAAAGAAACCAAAAGTTGGTTCTTTGAAAAGATAAACAAAATTGACACACCATTAGCTAGACTAATTAAGAAGTGAACCAGATAAATCAAATTTGCAATGAAACACGCAATATTACCACAGAAATAACACAACATAAAACATCATTAGTGAATACTATGAGTCTATATGCCAACAAAGAAGAAAACCTGAATGAAGTAAACAAATTCCTGAACACATCTATTCTACCAAAACTGAATCAGGAACACATAGAAAGCCTGAACAGATGCAGAATAAGCAATGACATTGCATCAGTAATAAATAACCTCCCAACAAAGAAAAGCCCATGTCATGTCCTGATGGCTTCACTTCTGAGTTCTACAAAACCTTTAGAGTTAACTCCCATTTTACCCAAACTATTTCTAAAGATCCAAAAGGAAGGAACCTTCCCACATTCGTTTTATGAAGCCTCCATTACCCTCATTTCAAAAATAGGTAAGGACATGACAGAAAAGGAAAACTATAGACCAATATCTCTGATGAATATAGATGCAAAAATTTTCAGCAAGATACTAGCAAATTGTAACCAACAACATATAAAAAAAGATTATACATCAAGACCAGGTAGGCTTTACTCCAGGGATGCAAAGACGGTTCAACATAGACAAAACAATAAAGTAATACACTGTATTAATAGACAGAAAGATAAAAATCATATGATCACATCAATGGATGTAGAAAAAGCATTTGATAAAATACAACATTCCTTCATGATTAAGACTCAACAAAATTGGCTAAAAGGCACATTTCTCAATACAATCTATACAATCTCTAATACAAAACCATCTATGAAAAACCCACAGCTAACATCATACTGAATGGGGAGAAAACTGAAAGCTTTTCCATTAAAAACTGATACAAGACAAGGCTGCCCACTTTATCCACTCCTTTTCAATATAGTGCTGGAAGTCCAAGCCAATACAATCATAAGATAAAATAACAGGCATTCAAATAGGGAAATAAGAGGTGAAATTATCTCTATTGGCAGATGGCATGATGTTATACACAGAAGACCCAAAGATCCACAAAAAGAACTTCTGGAAGTAATAAACAAATACAGTCAAGTGGTAGGATACAAAATCAACATACAAAAATCTATAGCATTTCTATATATGAACAATAAGCAGACTGAGGTAGAACTGAAGAAAGTAATCGCATTTACCATAACCACAAAAAGTATAAGATACATAGGAATAAATCTAACCAAAGAAGTCAAGGACCTCTACAAGGAAAATTATGAGTATCTAAAAAGGAAATTGAAAAATTATATGAAAGTGAAAGGACATCCCATGTTCTTGGATTGGAAGAATGTAATCAAAATGGCAATTCTACTCCAAATAATTTACATATTTAATGCAACCTCACTCAAATTACCAGAGAGATTCTTCACAGATCTAGAAAAGACAATTATAGAATTTGTCTGGAATCATAAAGAAGCCCATATTGCCAAAGAAACCCTGTGCAAGAAAAGTTGAGTAGTAGATATCTCACTCCCAGACCCCAAATATATTACAAAGCTGTGATAATCAAAACAGCATGGTATCGGCACAGAAACAGACACGTTGACCAATGGAACAGAATAGAGACCCCAGAAATAAACCCCAAAACATACAGCCAATTAATTTTTCTTAAAGGGCACCAGTCAATCCAGTGGGAAAAGGAAAATCTCTTTAGCAAATGGTGCTGGAAAAACTGGGTATCCACCTGAATGAAGTAAACAAATTCCTGAACACATCTATTCTACCAAAACTGAATCAGGTACACATAGAAAGCCTGAATAGATGGATCTAGGCCCTTATCACTCAGCAGTAACAAAGATCAACTCAAAGTGAATCAGATATCTAAACCTAAGACATCAAGCTCTAGAACTACTGGTGGAAAATACTGGGAAAACTCTGGAGTAGGCAAGACTTCTTAAGACTCCCAAAGCACAGGCAATAATCACACTGAATGTGGAAGAGATGAAAGCTTTTCCACTAAAAACTGGAACAAGACAAGGCTGCCCACTTTCTGCACTCCTTTTTAACATAGCACTGGAATTTTGAGCCAAGACAGTTAGACAACAGAGTCAAATAAAAGGCATCCAAACAGGAAAAGAAGTAAACTTTTTATCTGAAGATGATATTATGCTATAGAGAAAAATCCAAAAGAATCCATGAAAAAACTCCTGAAAATGATAAACAAATATAGTAAACTGGCAGGATACAAAATCGAAATACAAAAAGCCATACCATTTTTATGCACCAACAATGGACAAACTGAGACTGAACTGAAAAAATAAATGCCATTTACAATAGCCACGAAACCAATAAGATATCGAGAAACAAACCTTACCAAAGATGTCAAAGTTCTCTATGAGAAAAACTATGAAACATTAGAAAAAGAAACTAAAAATGATATAAAAAAGTGAAAAAATCACCCCATGTTCCTGGATTGAAAGAATTAATATAATCAAGATGTCAATCCTACTCAAATTAACCTAAAAATTTAATGCAATCCCAATTAAACTGCAAGAGACATTCCTTGCAGAAATATAAAAAACAATCACAAAATTTGTCTAGAAGCATAAAGGGTTCCATATCACCAAAGAAATACTGTCTAAGGAGAATAAAGTAGAAGGCATCACACTTCCTGACCTCAAAACATATTACCGAGCTGTGATAACTAAAACAGCATGGTATTAGCACAAAAACAGACAGGTAGACCAATGAAACAGAATTAAGAATCCCCAAATGAACCTCAAAGCATATAGCCATCTGATCATTGACAAAGGGCACAAACAACCCAGTGGAAAAAGACAATCTCCTCAGCAAATGGTGCAGGGAGAATTGGATATCCACCTGCAGAAGAATGAAACTGGATCCTCATCTCACGCCACTAACAAAAATTAACTCAAAATAGATTAAGGATCTAAACATAAAACCTCAAACTATAAAAATACTGGTGGAAGGACCTGCAGTTGGTGTAATGGCTATGTCATTGGACTCCCATGTAGTCGACCATGGTTTGAGTCCCGGACCCAGTGGCTTAAACTCACACCAGGCATGTGTGCGTGCGTGCCCAAGACACTGAGAGAATGGGGGAGGAGGGATTGCAGTGTGGCCATCCCCCTGGGTGATTTTTCACTTTCTGTCTCTCTGTCTCTCTCTGTCTTTCTGGTGAGCACATGCACCCTATAGCAAAAAAAGAAAATTCCAAATATATATATATATATATACATATTGGTGGAAAACACAGCAAAACCTCTTGGAGACCTTAGAGGAGGGAAAGACTTCCTAAAGACCTCAAAGTACCAGCAATGGTCCCAAAAGTAGAAAAATGGGGCTATATTAGGCTGAGAAGCTTCTGCACACCAAAAGAAACAATAAGTAGAGTAAGAAGACAGCCCTCGGACAGGAAGACTATATCCACAAACCAGCCTCAGACCGAGGACTGACCACCAGAATATACCGGGAACTCAAGCAACTTATGCACAGAAAAACAATCAATCCAATTAAAAGATGGGAAAATGAGCTGAACAGACAATTTTCCAAAAAAGGTATGTGAACAGCCCAAAAACATATGAAAATGTGCTAAGCATCTCTTATCATAGGGAAATGCAAATCAAAACCACAATGAGATACCACTTAATCCCAGTCAGAATGGCTAAAATTAAAATAATAATAAGTGCTGATGAGGCTGTGGTGAAAAGGAAACTCTCCTACACTGTTAGTGGGATGCATATTAGTACAACCACTTCCGAACATGATATGGAGATTCCTCAGAAAACTACAAACAGAGCTACCACAGGACCCAGTAATTCACTCTTAGGTATTTACCCAAAAGACAGAGAAACCCTCAGTCGGAAAAACACTTGCACACGCATGTTTATCCCAGCATTATTTACAGTTGCGAGGACATAGAATCAACACAAGTGTCCAAAACTAGATGACTAGCTTGAAAAAAAGGGACATAGGAACTCTATGGAATACTACTCAGCCATATAAACAGTAAGACCCTGACATTCGATACAAAGAATGAATATAGGGACCAGCAGTTGGCGTAATGGCTGTGTCGCTGGACTCCCATGTAGGTGATCGTGGTTCAAGTCCCAGATCCGGTGGCTTATACTCATGCCAGGCGGGGATGCATGCATGCCCAAGATCCCAAGAGGAGAATGGAGGAGAAGGGGTTGCGGCATGGCCATCCCCCTGGAGGGCCATTTCTCCATTCTCGCTTTCTATCCCTCTGTCTCTCTCTGTCTTTCTGGCGAGGGCACAGACCCTATAGCAAAAAAAAAAAAAAAAAAGAATGAATATAGAAGACTTAATGCTAAGCAAAGCAAGCCAGACTTTCAATTTCTCCACACATTATATACCAATTGTTGTGCACTATAGCAGAAATGGAAAGCATGCAAAGGGCAATGGGAGATCCTAGAGAATTTAAGGGTAGGCGTGATATGGAGATGGGTAATAGAGTGAGGGAGGGGGATGGGGAAGGGAAAAAAAGTACATTTAATTGACCAAAAAATGAAAAGCTATTTGCTGATGATAATGTATATAGCAATGTCTTTATCTTGACTGATATGAATGGTATTCATGCTGGAAAAAGCAAAGTTGTACACTGTAAAGATAAGTGTGATTAAATAATGTAAATTAAAATGCCTGAAAAAAAAATCTTTTCAACCTATAAAACCTAGACTGTATTTTCTTGTATGTATTTCAACCTGATTTCACTTATTATCAATATTCTGCATGGCACTTAGTCACATTTGAAATACACACCATTTATTAAAAAAGAGAGAGAGAGAGAGAGCTGAGCTAAAACAGCATTGGTGCCCATTTCCTGCGGATCGGACTCACAGCCTCAGTACCACAGTCGCAGGTTTCTTGGTCCTCCACGACGTGGTTGCCACAGGTTGCTGCTTTCATTTGCATTTGAGGCTTATTCCGCAGACAGCTGGCACCCGTATTTGAAATGAAACGTTCAAAGTCACTCACACTGCAATTGCTAAAAGTCTTCACACCACTGGATTGCCTAAAGATGAATTTATACAATGTCGTTGGCAGTATACTTCTGAAAACACAGTACTACATTATATCAATTAATTTCAAACAAGTTAAATGTAATAATAAATGTTCATAGTAAGTGCTTAGAGACCTAAATCATTCTTAGTAGTCATGTGACTTTATTTACTGGACTCCCTGTCCTTTTTTAAGCAAAATTAAGTACAATTCTACAGCAACAACAACCAAATAAGCCGGCTTAAAAATAGCCAGGCGCCACACGGCAGTCCGGCATTAAAGCAAGTGGCCTACGTGGGAAAGGTCCTGCAGCTGAGAGCCTCCCTGAACACGCCAGGCCCCGGCACACAGGCCGGTAAACCAAGCCCGCTGAAATGGGGGGAGGGGGGACCACAGCATGACTACCCCGAAGGGGGTCTGCTCGCTTGCTCGCTCTCTCTCTCTCGATTCTCTCTCATGGAAAAACTAAGTTAATACACTTTAAGTTAATAAACTTAAAAAATTTTTAAATGGACAAAAAAGTTGAACAACCATTATTCTAAATTAAAAACTAATACCCAATGAACAACCAATTTTTATTCAATAGATTATACTGTACTTAGTTCTGAACTTCCTCAAAGCTCTCAGAGAGACTATGTATCTATCAATACACACTTTTACATAATTATGTCCATATACCACTAATAAACATTGTTTCAGATAACATTTCCATAAAATAAGTCTGGAGAAATGTGTCGTCACAATCTGTAAGGCAAGGAGGAAGCTGATATTTATGGAGCAGGTGATAACCCAAATATTCTCTACATTCAATTAGTCCTCATCACAAACCAGGGAGATTGGTCTGATCACCAACATTTTACACGAAGTGTGCTAAAACCCTCGAAACTCAGCCTGTAAATTGACAGGATGAGTATTTGCACATAGTTTGGGAAATTTTTTTTAATTCATATATTTATGGGGTACAACATGATGTTTCGACATATATATATATATATATATATACACACACACACACACATATATATATATATACACACATACATAAGTATACATATACATTGTGAAATAATTAAGCTAATCAACATATTTACTATCTTATATATTTATTTTTTTAACTTCATTTATTTTAATTTGGCCAGAGAAGGACAGAGAGAGACAGAGAGGGGGGGCAGGGGAGTGAGAAAGCAGGCCGACAGGTCCAGGATTTTAACTGTTGTCAGCCATGTGGGAGGTCCAGTGCGCTTAACCACCATACCACCTGCCACCCCCACTACCTTATATACTTATTTTTTGTTGCAAGTACACTTAAAATCTACTCTTCACAATTTTCAAGTATCTACATCATTATTAACTTTGCTCATCATGCTGCATAAATTTACAGTACCCCACATATGGAATCAACCCAAGTTCCTTTGATGGATGAAGGGATAAAGAAAATGCAGAGAAGAGGCCGGGCCTTCAGAAGAAGGTTCCACATGTGCACCGCGCAGTTTTCTATTTTCTGATTTTTTTTTTAAAAGAACAGCAATTACATTTTTAAAAATTTTTTTTGTCTTTTTTTGTCTTTTTGTTGTTGTTTCTCTCTTTCTCTTTCTTTTTCATTTTCCTTTTTCTTGTCTCTCCACCCTCCAATATCCATTCAATGTGTTTTTAGACGGATCTAAGAGCACTGTAGCTAAACATCCAAATACTAATAGGGTTAAAATATTCCCCAATATCTACTGAATCTGCTGCACCAGCGATCACAACAGAACGGCAAAGAGATTCTAGATCACCTCTGTCTGCTTGCTCCTGAACATTCAGGCTGAACTTTAAGAATTTGAAAGAAACACACCATACATCAGATGACAAGAAATCACTGCCGGATCACAAGAAATATGGGAAAACAAGAAAATACCTCTCCTCCAAGGGAAAAGAGTAACTCTTCTTCATCCACAAGCAGTTCGGTGAAAATCATGGAAATGTCTGATAAGGAATTCAGATCATTCATAATGTCAAAGCTAACAGAGATGGAAGAGAAGAGAGATAATGAACTACTAAAGAGAAAGGAGAAAGAGATTGACGAGTTCCAAGAGATGAGGAAATTCCTGCAAGATCTAAAAGTGGAATTACACACTTTACAAAAGACTCAAACCGAACTGCTAGAGATGAAGTCTATAATACAAGAAGTCAAAATCTCCCTGGAAAGCATTAAAAGCAGACTAGATCATTCAGAAAATAGAATCTCAGATGTAGAGGAGAAAATGGCTGGCCTAGAAAAATCCACCATGAAGGCTGAGAAAATGGCACAAAAATTTGAGAATAATATGCGAGAAGTACTGGATACCATCAAACGTCCAAATATCCGGATAATTGGCATTCCAGAAGGTGAGGAAACCCATAAGGGCATTGATAATCTATTCCAGGAAATCCTGCAAGAAAACTTTCCAAACCTAGAGAGGCATTCAAAGATCCAGTCCCAGGAAATACAACGGACCCCAAATAGAATCAACCCTAGAAGATCTTCTCCAAGACACATTATAGCCAGGTTGACCAAAACTGCAGACAAAGACAAGATACTAAGATTAGCAAGAGAAAAACATCAAGTTACCTACAAAGGACATCCCATCAGGCTAACAGCAGATCTCTCATCAGAAACAATAAAAGCGAGGAGAGAATGGGAAAATATATTCCAAGTGTTAAGAGAGAAGCAGTTTCAGCCAAGAATACTGTATCCGGCAAGATTATCTTTCAGGTGGGAAGAAAAGACAAGAACATTCTCAGATAAACAAAACCTGAAAGAATTTACCAGCACCAGACCAGACCTCCAAGAAGTTCTCAAGGATGTGCTGTATCAGGAAAACTAAACGCAGATACATGGAAATAAGAGTCCAAAAACTGAGAAAGTAGCTAACTTAATCATAGGGACAAGTCTGGAGTTGAATACTATATCCCAGAATTTAATCAGGAAAATTGAACCAGAACAGAAGATAAAAGTATATGAGACTGATAGGTTCATGCACCTACCATTTGAACAGAATCCTAACCTGTTTCCGGGCTTTAAGCAAAGTTCCTTGGCGGTTCTTTGATTTAAGTTAAAACTGGTTTTCTTAGTAGTAACGAGGGAACTCACCTTTGAAAGTAGTCAGGTTATGTAGGAAATTGTGTGATCAATGCAATGTGGGTGGGAAGGGAATGGAGGACAATTTTGGACACTAGAGGTGGTGTGAGAGGAGGGTGGGAAGGGACAGAGGGTCAGAAAGAGGGGTGGAAATAATTCTAGGAACTAGACATGGAAAATTTTTTATAATGTGCATGATTGAGTCACTATGCAGTGTGTACTGGATGGGAGATCACATTTTGTGTGCTTTGATGATGCTTAGGGAAGGAATGTAAATTGAGTTACAAAAAAAAAAAGTTTCAGGGAAAAAAAATATATATCTATTCAATGACTGCAGTAAGATATGTAGCCCCAGCTAGGTGCTACTTTATAGGATGTGTAAAGTTAGACTTGTGTTCATGGAAATGTGTCACATGTGTTTGCTAGGAGGGTATTTGGATTGATGAGCTATGAGGGTATTTGGATTGAATAGGGTCTTTGGTGATTCAATAAAATGTGGGGGGAAAACAGTATAGAAAGCAAACATAGATACCACCAGAGACCGTGTGGGAGGAGAGTGGGAGATGGCAGAGGGTAAGAGATAGGGAATCAAGGATGGGGGAAAAAAAGCAAAACATACAGAAAACAAGAAATGGAAGATCACTTGCTAATAATAACATGTTTGTTGATATGCTTGATTGAGACAATATACAGTGTACTCTGGAAAAAAAAAAAGAATAGTCAGATGGCCTAGATGATGTACAGTGAATGAATGCGAATAAATAAATTGAACAAAAATAAAAACGAAAATGTGGTATATAAATGTGTACACAATGGAATACCATTTGGTCTTTTAAAAGAAGGAAATCCTGTCATTTGCCACCTAAATAATATCATGTTCGATGAAATAAGCCAGGCACAGAGAAAGACACTGTATAATCACAATGATGTGTAGAATCTAAGAAAATCAAACTCAGAAATGGAGAGAGTAGCATGAGGGTTACCAGGGACTGAGAGGCGGGGGAGGATGGATATTGATCACATGGTACTGATAACTTCAAATTCAGGTACCTCACAATTTACCTGTGAGGGCCAGCAGGCACCGTGGTAGGAGGAGATGGAGAAAAAAGGATTGTGGCATGGCCATCCCTACTGGGGGGTAATCTCTTACTTTCCCTCTCTCTGTCTCTGTCTCTGGTGAGCACACACATGGCAAAAATTCCAATTCAATCTTAATTTATATTTTACTGTAAACCATACATTTTGATGACCTTAGCATAAAAATTTAAATTAAAAAATATCTTAATTTTAAAAATTGTGTAATACCATTGCTATGGTTCTAAATGAACATTTTAACAATGCTCCCCTGTTTCTAAAATAAGTACATGGAGAAGGATGAAGTGAGCCATCCCAACAAAATATAATCCCTAATTGTTCACCTTTTTGTTGCCTACAATTACAGTTCTTAATACAAGAATATGTGTTCCCAATAATTATTTTTAAGCAATTATCTGGAGCTTTCCCCTTTGTTTACTTGAGGTTTTACATTCTACATTCTAGTGTTATGTTAATTTTATTTGCAAATTATTTTATAAAAGCTTGTTGGAACCGTGGTAACTAGCCTGGAGTGTCGAGTTCAGAGAAGAGAAAGTGGTAGAAGGATGGGAAGAATAGTTCTGTTCACTTCTGTTCTTCTTTCTTTCTTTTTTAAGAGTTTTGCTCTAGGGCACATGCACTCACCAGAAAGACAGAGAGAGACAGAAAGTGAGAAATCACCCCCCAGAGGGGATGGCCACAAGACCTTCTGCCCCACCTCCTCTTGGGATTTTGGGCACACATGCACATGTACTCAACTTGAGTTTCAAGCCGTCAGGTCTGGGACTCGAACTGCAGTTGACCATGTGGGAGTCCAGCATGCAGCTGACCATGTGGGAATCCAGCTCCTTGTTTTTGTAACCCTATACCAAGATTTTAATTAAGAGATCCTGGCACAATGATAATTTAAATCTATCCTGGTTACTTGCAACATCACAACAACTGTATGATGTAGCAATCATGACCATCATTTTTCAGATGAGAAAACTAAGGCTTAGAAAAATTAGAGAAAAAGTTAAAGATACCAAAGCCCACGTTCCCCTCAAAGTATTCCATAGCCCATAATGTTATCCTCTTCCCCAAACAAACTTCCATAGCGTAATGAAACTGGTCCTAGCAAGGAATGTGGAGATAAAATAATTCAATGTCTTTGAATAACTGATAAACCCAAATTCCTTCCAAAGTGCAATGAGGACCCAGCAGATGGCATAGCAGTTCCATCACTGGACTCCCATATGGCCGACTGCAGTTTGAGTCCTCAATATGGCGGTTTCAAAATCATGTTGGACACGTGTGCACTCAGGACCCAGGGAGGAGATCCCAGGAGGAGAATGGAGGAGAAGGGATTGCGGCGTGGCCACACCCCTGGGGATGATCTCTCTCTCTCTCTCTCTCTCTCTCTCTCTCTCTCCTTCCCTCCTTGGTGAGCACACACACTCTAAGGCAAAAAAGTCTCTAAATTTTTTTTTTTAAATAAAAAAGATGCAATGAGATCCAGAGTCTACCATGACCATGAGTTTTCCAGGTTGCAATATTCATGCCTGTTGCCATTTTCTGCACTCCTTCCTCCCTCCACTTCTAAATTCATTTGTCTGTGCAGACTGTCATGAAACTGAAGGCTCAAGACACAAGCTACTCAATCAAGGGATGGTTATCCTTGGTTGGTTTTAAGGGCACGCTCCCCCTCCTCATGATCCTTCAATATAAGATTAAATGTTCATATTTTGTAGTGAATTTGCTCCATATATATAGTTTATGTTTAAGTAAATACTAACTTTTTATACGTCACATATTTGAAACAGAACAATCAATCAATCGATATTGTTTACGACTTACATGGCTTCCGGATGCATTATGCAGACAACCTCTGAGCAGTGACAGCTTCGTGGGTCATCATACGACATGCCCAGGCTGAGTCCCAGCATCTGGGTGATAATCACTGCGAAGGCTTCCAAAGTTAGCTCCTTGTAATACTACAATCACAATGAACAAAATCCAAAGGAAAGAAAATTCACTGATGAGTAATTTAGAAATCATAAATTTCTTATTTTCACCAGAGTGTACATAAGCGCACCAGAAAGACAGAGGAAGAGGGAGAAAGCTTCCTCTAACGGGGCGTGGTCATGCCGCCACCCCTTCTCCTCTATTTCTCACCCCATTGGGATCTGGGGTGTACATGCACACATAAACACCCACTGTGTTTTTCAGGCTACTGGGGCCAGGATTCAAACCACACAGTCTTCCATGTGTCTAATTCTTAACATTTTGCATTGATTTATCAAATACTTAAGAACAGGGAGGCAACGCATGAATGGCACAAAGAGCGGTGGTATTATCTGTTGGAGATATTTCGTAGTTTTATCAACGGTACGAGGGAGAGATGCTCACCTGCTGGAATATCCATCTTGTAAGACAAATAATAATGTGACCGAATGTATGGAAGAAAACGAAATGAAAGAAAAAAATTTAAAATAAAATAAAAAAGAATAGGGGCCAGCCACGGCATGGCAGTTAAGGCGGCTGGATCCCACATGGCCAGCTGTGCAGCTCCAAGTCCCAGAAACAGAAGCTGGAAGAACAAACCAGGGTGCGAGTCTCGAAAGGAGGAATAAATGGAGATGGGATTGTGGTGTGCCGCTGCCCATGGGGAACGCTTTCTCACTTCTGCTGTCTCCCACGAGCACATGCGTCTTCCGGCAAAATTAAAAACAAACAAAAAAAAAAGAATGGGAAGATACAGTTCCTTGGACAGGTAAGAAGCAAAAGCTTCTTTTAAGAAATTTCACTGAAATATAAGCATATTGAGTCTACATCAAGCTTTGCCATAATGTAAGAACTGAACACCTATTACATCTTAGGTAGCTGCCGTAACAGTATAATAGAAGGGCTGCTTCTCTCTAATAAAGTTGACATGAGACTTTAGGTGATATGGACCATAGTCTTCAACTGGCCTGATTTCTTACAGGAACTTTGATATTCACTTTAAACCAGACGAGCTCTTCCAGCTTGTGAAGTGGCCACAAAGCCCAGTTATCCAATTTAAATGGATGCGCCTTCTGCTTCCTGCTAGGACCCTCAGTGACAAGTGGCTGGTACCCAGAGAAGCTCCTCCCCACTCCCCCCCAAAAAAGCAGACCCTTTAGAGCCAGCACCAAGCCTAGTATTTAAGGGAGCTAGATGCCTCATGGCTGACTATGGTTCGAATCCTGGACCCAGCAGCTTGAAAAACACCAAGCTTGTGTGTGTGTGTGTGTGTGTGCATCCCCAAAAACCTAGCAGGATGGGAAATGGAGGAGAAGGGATTGAGGTGTGACCATGCCCCACATCAGAAGTACTTTCTCCTTCTCACTCTGTTTGTCTCTGGCAAGCACACAGTGCCTTCTGGCAATTGAAAAAAAAAATATATATATATATATAATATAAATGAACCCTTAAATAGCATTCTTAGATTATGTTATGCTTCATACTTCAACAAGTACACAGGTAACTTCCTTGCCAAGGAGAACTAGGACGCTGGCAACTCATGAATGCAATGACCATGATTTCTCAAGTTATCACCGAAGCTGGCCTAAGGTAAGGTGCAGGAAGGGGGCCATTGCATTGCTATGGTGACAATAGCAATAATCAAAGTTTGGTGGTTAAACGGCCTCTTTGCACATAATGAAAAACAGAAAGAGAGAGCCACGAATAAGCAAATGAAAATCAAACAGGCCATTGGAAAGCCTCTGCAGCAGCACTTAGGTGACCCCTCAAGGGCAGAGGCTGTGGATTACTTAGCTCAGGAACAAGCCCAACCCACCAGACTTGGTGGGAAAAGCACGAACATCTGGAACAAGAGGGGAAAATTGGAGGAATGTGGACAAGTACCTCTTCTGCCCTCCACGGCAGAGGAAGCTCTCTCCAAACAATGGGAGAGAACACATTCTAATGACAATACCTGGGACATTCGTCTCACTACCCTTCACTGCCTCCAGACCCATTTGAGAATTACATCTAAACAAGATCATAAAGGAGAAATATAAATGTTCTACTCCTAGAGGGGATAATTTATACTTTGACAAAGTCTGATTCAAGAGTACGAAATAGAAGCCTGAACTGAGTGGCTTGCCGGAGAATCCATGTTTAATGAGCCTACTCAAAGCAGGGGTAGGTAATGTTAATATTCTACCAGATGACCAGATAAAGTTAGACTTCAGGGGGACCTACTGTCAGTGAGAACAAAACTCTGGAACTGTCCGTATGCTGTATGGTAAGAAAGTATCGGTTTTCAGGAATGTGGTCATGGGGAGTGAGTCTATTTCTTACAACCCATTCAGTAATCACTCCTACTCAAAACACCTGAAAGGGCTGGGAGGACATTCCTCTCCCCATGACATTAATAAATATTGGTGGAAGGCACACTAATAACGTCCAAGATCTTTGCTGGTTGTTTTCTGAGTGGTAGAGATGATGGTGGAAAAAAGAACAGTGGAAACTGGTTCTCTGAGATGAACGGGAGCAGTAAGACCAGGAGTGTGGCGGCCTATGTGTTCCCGCCTACCTAAGCCGAGGTGGGGGTCATTACCACAGGAAGTCAGATGGGGTCAGTGTTTGGACTTGCCAGGATGGTGGTAATTCATTATTCCAGGCCTGATGGCAAAAACTTAACGTGGGTTGCTGTCACGCAGATCCCTGCACTTAAACCAACTCAGAGCCTAAGGAAATCTCAACTAAACAGAGTACTTCTGAGGAAGGACCCTCCCATACAGTCACGGGTGAAACTGATTATTTCCCCAGGTCTTCCCCGGGGGATCTATGACACTTCATCCAAATGACTTACAGCCAGGAAAAGGAAATATCTAGGACTTCTGGGCTTACTGGATTCTGATTCAGAACTGAAATTACCCTAGAAAACTGAATACCACTTTAGTCCAATAGTTAGAGTGCGGCCTTATGGATGTCAGGTGGTCAAGAGGATCTTGTTTCAAGTCTGTCTAATAACAAATCCAAGAGTACTACAGGTACAACCTACTACTATTTTCCAAATCCCAGAATCGTAGTTATAATAGAAATGCTCTCAAAATCCTAATGCTGGTCCCCTGGCCAACATGGTGAGAGCTATTACAATACAGAGAGCCAAGAGGACCTTGACGTGGTCCCGAGACAACAAACCAAAAGGAATATGGCATCCCTGGGGGAGCTATTAGTACCACCGTGAAAATCTGAAATTGTAGGAGTGATGGCGTATAATACATCGTTTTTCAACTTGGCTTGTCTGTCTGATTCAAAAGCCAAGAGATGGAGAAAAACTGTAAATTACTGCAAACTTAATTTGGTGGTGGTGGCAGACACATGGGCAAGCCCCACTGTGGGACATTTACAAAAGAGTCTTTGGCAACTGGTATGTAGTGACTGACCTACCAATTTCCTTCTGTATGCGCCAGCAGCAAAAATAATCAAAAGAAATTTTCTTCAATAAGGGGAGAGTAGCATGGGGACAGTCTATCGTTCCATACCTTTCTTCACGACTCTGTTACCTCTCCTCTCCTACTCTGTGATAATACAGCTTAGAGAGACCTTGATAGTCTTTATAGATGCAGGACATCACGCTTGCTCCATTATCTGCTTGGCGATATGCTGACTAGACTTGGTGTGCAGGAAGCAGCAAGTACCGCAAAGGCCGTAGTAAAATCCATGCATGCGGGAGCATGGGAGATGAGTCCTGCCACTGTTCACAGCCTGCCACCGTGGTGATGGTCTTAGAGATGCACTGCTCTGAGATGCATCAGGACATACCTTCTAAAACTACACCCAAGGGCGCGTGCTCTATACAGCTCGCTACCACACAGGAGGAACTACAGGCGATGGCCTTGTTTGGATGTTAGAAGACACGTCTGCCGCCCTTGGAAACGCCTGCCCTTAAACATTTGCCGGATGTTCTGTGAGCGGCTCCTGACTTGATGCTGATACGAGAAAGGCTGAAAACCTGGCTAAGATACTGAGTGGCCGTGGCCTGAATGCCTCATTGTGAAGTGGACGTGAGCTGAGTCACAAACCACACGTTGCATGCTCACAGCAACACTACCTTGAACAGGTCTAGAAACAACAAGCAAACTGCACAAGCAGCTGTCTCGGCCTTGATGACCCGACACACTCCTTTTGCAACTTCTTGCACAACTCACTTGCTCTTGATGACTGAGCAGTACCCACTGTGAAGAGGAGAGAAGAAAGCATGGGTCTTGTCTATGGCTGGGTCAGCAAGATAACCCCAGCAGCAGCCAGAGGTGGGCATTACAGCCTCATTCCAAGGCCCAGTGGGCATCAGCCCAGGCAATACCTCTGGCTGTTTACTTTGCTTTCAAGGAAAGATGCCAGATTACACGTATTTTCTTAAATGTTCATATGTGTGCTTAAATTTAACATAACTAACATAAATTATTCCACATAAGTTAAAAAAAAAAAAGGACTTAAACTTCTTGAGTTTTTTGTTTGTTTTATTTGGGTTTGGGTTTTGATTTTGTTAGTTTTTTGCCATAAGGTGCACTCATCCAGGAAAGACAGAGAGAGAAATGAGAATTCACACCAACCCCCCACCCCCCGGGGCGATGTCCACATCCCAATCCCTCTCAGGATTTGACATGCCCACTGTGATTGTTCAAGCTGCTGGGTCTGGAACTCAAGCCGCCGTCGGCCACATGAAAGTCCAACACCCTAACCACCATGCCACCTGCTGGCCCCAAGGATGAAAAATGGCTCAACATGCTACATCACTTTTCAATGATGCATTTAATTTTACCAATGATCTTTTATATGCAAACTGTTATAAATACTATATATGTGTATATACACACACATATTATGCATAAAAGTTTCTTTTAAATATTGTCTTTCAAAAGTTCAAAATGTTTTAAAGGATTTTTATTGCAGTTTTGTTTGTTTTGATTTTAAAACTACTTTGTCTGTAAAAATATCTCCAGTTTTATGTCTACAAGCAAAACTCTATTTGGGTTACAGAAATTTCCTTACAGATAATTTTTCATAATACACTATTCTACCGTATATAGTGAGAAATGCATATTAATTACAGCACTTTTATTCCTATTCCTACTTTAACATCCAAGTACAGTTAATCATAATAATATATTTGTTCTATAAAATACTTTTCCTTCTACACACATCAAAATTTTGATAGTAATGGAAAACAAATGCAATCTTTAAATGTAGGCATAAATATATACAATGTATGCTATTATGTTAGATGATATTTAAATGCGTAATTTAAGATTAGTAAGATTAAGTAATTACATACCAAGGCAATTCCTGCAGAATAGCGGTCAATACACATCTTTCCAGGGACTGTCGCTCCCACATAATCTGGATAATCCCTATAACTAAATAGATAAGGGTACATTTGTAATTATTTTTAATGAACAACTGAAATGTAAAAATTAAGAATTTAAGTCTGTAGTTTGAAAAATCCTAGTCTGAAGCAAATTAAGATACAGTCTTTCCATATGTCATTAAATGTTTCAAATTTGAAGATATTCTTAACTAAATTATATTAATTACTCTATATATTTCTAAAACATATCTAATGGATTCAAGTTTTTGAGGGCTTTACTGTTCTTGTCACATTTGGCCTAGATTACCAGGGCCTTTGATCAAACATCTGACCATAAACACTTTGTTGAGTGACAGTGACAAACGGCTTTAATGTATGGACCAAAATTTTTCACTCCCATGCACCCCCTGGGAGGGATGGCCATGCCACAATTCTTCTCCTCCATTCTCCTCTTGGGATTTTGGGCACGCATGGACATGTGGCCAGCATGAGTTTTAAGCCACCACAGGGTCCAGGACTTGAATTGGGAGTCCAGCAGTGTAACCATTACACCATCTGCTGGTCCCAGGATCAACATTTTAACAACATTAATTTAGCCAATCACAGAATATAGGGCATCTTTCCATTTATTTCTGTCTTTTTCTATTTCACTCAATAGTCTATCATTTTCAGTGTACATATTTTTCAACTCCTTGGATAAATTTATTCCTTCATAGTTTTTGATATCATTCCTGGGTTTGATAAATATCTTCCTCAAATACTCTATCAGAAATATCATAATAATTTTGAAATACAGAAATCTTTCCTTTCAGATCAGGAACGAAACAAAGATACTTGCTATCACAACATCTGATCCCTACAATTCAGTAGCCTAAGCCAATACAATATGGCAATCAATGGTGTACGTATTCTATCCAGAGAAATCAAATTATTATAATTTTCAGATATAATTATGCATTCAGAAATTAGAAAATCTCAACAAATAAATTATTGAAATTAAAAAATAAACATACACAACACAAATAACAAATGCTGATGTAATCTTACTAATCTAAGGACTGTATGTAATAATAATTTTAAAATATTGGCTTATCAATAGTCACAAAAAAAGTATCAAATCAAGGAAAGATGTCAAAAATAGTAGAAACTGAAAGGAGTGTGACAGGGAGTACGTAGAAACTCTGTTTTTTGGCTTATTTTTTCTGTAAAACTAATACTGCTCTACTCTGTTAATTTAACATTGGACTAATTCATAGTTACAAAAATTAACATCCAAGTAGCCTCAAAAATATTATTAAAATACATAAAAGTATATTATTTATATTAGCACAAAATAATCAGACTTAGACATAAAACTAATTGTAAGACCACTGTAGAACATCTCAAAGATTTCTGACACTTAAGAAAGGCTTCGAAAAAATGAAGGGAGGTATGATAATCAATGATTGGAATATTCAACATTATAAATACACATGAACTGGAAGACTCAACAATATGGATAAGCCAGTTTTCCCCAGACTGATACAAAGAAATTGCTTTAATCTCTATAAAAATCCCAGCAGGTTGTTTATAGGATTTGATAAATACATGGCAAATGTGCTAGTTATCCATGTGGCAGAAAATAATGTACCTCTCTTTTATATTATATAGAAATTAGTCAAAGATGTATTGAAGACTCAATTATAAAAAGCAATACTACTCTCCCCCCAAAAGCCTAGCAGCCTAAAATACAGAGCTGAAAGACACTTTCTTCAAGGAAACTCAAAAGTGAGAAAGAAAAGATTAACAAATTTAGCCATATGAGATGTAAAATTTTTATGCACCAAAAATAAAAGAAAGAAATAGGTTTATAGAATAATTACAGATATGGAAAAAGTGTTTGTTATGCTGATAAACAAAAATCCCTAACAAATTACAAATGTATATGCCATGAGAAGGCAATTACAGGACAGGTCCGAATCTTCAACAAGCGTGTGAGAATACCCTCAAATCCACTAGTCATCAGACAAAAGCAAATTAAGATAACAATAATGTTCATTTCTATCCAGTACACTGGCAGAAAATGAAGAGCCATAACACAGAGATGCAAAGGAAAGAGTCATCTCACAGGTGCAAAATGAAACACCGGCATGCCAACTTAAGAATTTATGCACAGATTTATTGAAAGAGATTTGCTAGTTATTGTTAGTAAATTTAATATGAATAAAATTATAAGTATGTAGCTATAATTTATCACTAGAAGACCAACATTTTTAAATAACGCAGAAATATCAGTAGGACAAAATATTTGTAACCTACATTGCTACTCTTTTGGTCAAAGCACATAATAAAAATACAACCTCCACCAGATAAATCCTGTTTCTTCATGTAGTAGTTAAAAGTATGAGCTCTACAAACTGTGGGTTCAAACCCCAAACACACCACCAGATGTAAGAGTACTAAAATAGCCTAACTTCCTGAAACCTCAACCCCTTCATTTGTAAAAGGTGGATAAGTATAGGAATAAATGTTAGTAATCTGTTTTTTTAATTGCCTGACAACCAGAGAGTATGCAAGGCTGAATAAAGCATAAATCGCCAAAGTCTAACAGTCAGAAAGGAATAAAAACTCCCTAAATTAAACAACACGATTATCACAGATCTTTGTTTATTTTCTAAAAATACTGAAACGTCATGCTTACATTAACAGATATGCAACATCATGAGGCCTGAGGGTAAGGTAAGTCTGTTTCCATTCTAAGAATCTATGCAATAAATCATCTGCCTCACCAGCTGTCGGGATCTTATTGTAATCTGACCACAACTCCAATGATGACAGCACGACAGTAACTTTAAGTTGGGTAAACATCTAAAAACAGAAGAGATAAGTGAATGCTAAATTAATGTTTACATTATTTTATAATAGCCTAGAATGAAGTTAATGTTTTCACAAATCTACACTCAGTTTATATGGATGACTTAATTATTTGGAAACACTAGATCAAGGTCATGCAAATTAAAATTTCGAAGCAAAGAATTTTTCTAAAATGAAAAAGAGAATACTTACGGAATTTATAAGGCCAATAATTTCAATGACTCTATTCATTACTATCACGCTATCGGAGCCCAAGTAATCATACTGAAAAACAGAATTAATTTTATATTTAAATACAATTTCTACTGTAATGTACTTGAGATTTTTTTCTCCAACTACTGTTAAAGGTTCAATGCTGCTTTGGGGTTCGACATTTCAAAATAAGACATTCACTAATTGTGGCAAGCAGATGGCATCGTGGTTCAAGTCCCGAACCTGGTGGTTCCACCGCCCCTACCATGAGCCCATGTACCCTATAGCAAACTTAAAACTACTACTAATAAAAGTGATAAATAAAATTAAATAAGTAATTCTTTTTTAAAAAGACATTCACTAATGAAAAATGAATATAAAAACTGGATCACTTATATGTTGCTGATGGTAATGTAAAATGGTAGAATCGCTCTGAAAAATAATTTGGCAAGTTTTTTCAAACCAAATAATGGACTTACTATATGACCTGGCAACTGGCTCCTGAACATTTATCCCAAAGAAAAAATACTTACAGCCACCCCCCCAAAAAACTATATATGAAGGTCCATAACAGCTTGATTCTAATAGCCAAAAACTAAAAGCAACTCATATGCCCTTCAATGGTTAGGTAGCTGACAAACTGCAGTACATTCATACCACAGAACTGTACTGATGGGACTAGAAAGGACTGAACACTGTGGAGATGCAGGACAGCTTGCATAAAGCTCGAGAAAATGGCATTGAATGTAAGAAACAAGCAGACAAGCAAACAAAAAAATCCTCAAAATGATATATACTTCATGGGGACCAGCAGATGGCATAATGGCTACATTGCTGGACTCCCACATGGTCAATTGCGGTTTGAGTCCTGGACCCAGCGGCTTAAAATCTCAAGCTGGATGTGTGCGTATATGCCCAAAATCCCAGGAGGAGAATGGAGGAAAAGGGACTGCAACGTGGCCACCCTTGGGGGGTGATTTCTTGCTTTCTGTCTCTCTGTCTCTCCAGAAAGCACAAGCATCCTATAGCAAAAATACGTGTGTGTGTGTGTGTGTACACACTTCATGTAACTTTATTCAATATTTATAGAAATCATAAAGAGAGAGAACAGCTTAGTAGTTGCCAACGGTTAAGAAAGTGGTGGAGGGATGAATGCAGTTAAAAAGTTACAGCCGTAAGGAAGCCTTGTGGGAAGATACTGCTGAGAGTCCTGATTGCGGTTGGCAGTTACACGAGACTGCCTGTGATACTCCTGCATAAAGCCACCTACCTACGGACACCCCATGTGTCTTCACTGCATGCTCTCTTCCCAGTAACTATCCAGCTCATGCTCAATAAACTTAAGTAGATGAAAAAGAAATCAATTTATAAGTCCTTCTCATTCAGCCTCATCAGAGCTTTAAAAGTGGTCCCTTTATTTCTATTGCTAACACCCCTAATATATGATTTTCACCTTATTTACTTAGAATAGCCTTTTACATGGTTCTTCCTTGGCCGATTTTCCCACCAGTGATCCAGCTCCGACGCTACTACCAAAATGACAAGTCTAAAGTGAAGGTGTAAATACATGCCTCCCTTGCTTAAAATATTTTAATGACTTTCCGTTGTCTTTAGGATAAAATTCAAACATCTTATCAATCATGTAGTTCATCTACTTCCAGGTCCCTTTTTTAACCTTACGTGTTAGTTAAACTAAGCTTGCCATTTCCTGAAAGGATCTCCTCTTGCACTCGCCTGCGGCTATAAAGAAAGTTTCCACACAGTGTCTTCCCAGGCCTACCGCTCACCCGTTACCCGCTTCTTGTATTCATTGCATGACCCACTAAAATATACTCGTCTTTTCATTGCAGGGGGTGCGTGTGAACTGGCTCGAGTTCCCCAGTGGCTTGAAAATCATGTCGGGTGCGTGTGCACACAGGTCCAAGATCTTAGGAGGAGAATGGAAAAGAAGGGATTGCATGGCCATCGCCCTTGTGGGGTGATTTCTCACTTTCTTTCTCGCTGTCTCTCTCTCCCCAATGAGTGTACATGCCCTAAGGCAAAAGCTCAAAAAACAAACCTGTCTCGGGACCAGCAGTTAGTGTAATGGCTATGTCACTGAACTCCCATGTAGTTGACCATGGTTCGAGTCCTGGACCCAGTGGCTTAAACTCATGCTGGGTGCGTGTGTGTGCGTGCCCAAGATCCCGAGAGGAGAATGGAGGAGAAGGGATTGTGGCATGGCCATCACCCCTGGGGGGTGATTTCTCACTTTCTGTCTCTCTGTCTTTCTCTGTCTTTCTGGCGAGCACACGTGCCCTATAGCAAAAACCTCTACAAAACATAAAAATTTTTAAAAATCTGTCTCTTCAACAGCAATCATCTTCTGGCTGCAGGCCTTGCAATAGTTGGACAGTAATAAAGCCTACATTTTAAAACACCCATTTGCAGGGCCAGCAGATAGCATAACGGCTACGTTGCTAAACTCCTATGTTGTTGACTGCGGTTTGAGTCCCGGAACCAGTGGCTTAAACTCACGCCGGGAGTATGTGCATGCATGCCCAAGATCCTGAGAGGAGAATGGAGGAGAAGGGACTGTGGCATGGCCAACCCCCCTGGGGGGTGATTTCTCACTTTCTGTCTCTCTGGCTAGCACACACACCCTGTAGTAAAAAAAAAAAAAAAAAATCAAAACTCTCCAAAAAAACACAAATGACTGTTTAATTGGCACTATATAGCTTACAAAACCTGGAAAAGTTTTTTTAAAATAACTCTCAAAACTTTATAACACAACCCTGAAACAAAAGAATTTTCAAGTTCACAATGTGCCCTACAGATTTACTAGAAAAACCTCAATTTTTTTCTCAAATATCTCAGTACCTCAACTTTCTCTTCAATGTTCCCTTTGCCCTTTTCCCTGTACTCTTCTCAATAAATCATGTCCTTTCATACCCTTCTCCAAATCCCGCCAGCCCTTGGCTTCCTGACCAGCTCTTCATCCCTAAGAACGCGGCTGGCAGTGAGCACGGTTCGTACCCTCCATGGTGTTCCACAGGCATGGCGATCACATGCTTATCACCAGAATAAAATGGGAAAAGTATATTTCCGCCCTCTTTTTGGACATCTGTCATCTATCGGGGAAATGAAGCCCTACCTGGTTGACAGGAGACTGTTATCGTGGAGAGATCCTGAAGTTTAGAGGCCTTCGAATTGCTTATGGGAATCTTCTTGGGATTTGGGTCACACATGCACACATGCCTGACATGATTTTTAAGCTGCAGGCTCATGCAGTCAGCCACGCGGGATGCAGTGTCCTAACCTCCATGCCACCCGCTGGCCCAGTCCCCAAAACACGTGATGGGCTGAAACATTACCTAGACCACATGTTGTTCTTTAAGACTTCCCTAAAATAGGACTTTGACTAAGTATCACCATTTGAAAAAAAAAAAAAAAGTGTGGCTTAAGAGAGGCCCTAAACATGTGAAGTACCAAAGGAGAAGAAAAAAAATCACTTTTCTACAGTATTATTATGTAAAGATGCAAAATAAAACATTTCTAATAAAACTGGTGTAACATTCACCATCTGGTTTTTCATTTGCACATTGTTCCTTAACTTTATTTCTTCCAAGAAAGAGAGAAAGAGACCGGCTCAAACAGGGTCATCGCTCTGCAATCCACCTCCGTCTCGCCCAGCCCAGACCACAGGTGTGTGCACACTGGTCATGCACCAAATGGGCCAGGGACGTCAACTCAGGACCGCCCCCTGCGGGTCTGGTGGTGTTACTGCTACACCACTTTCTAGCCTGGTTTACACACTGCTCCACTCTCCCCTCTAGGACACGAAAAGAAGAAGATGGGAATCTCTTAGTTACTCTCTAACTAGGGATAATTATACATTTACATGAAATATTTAAAAATAAAGAAAAGGCAAAACACATACCAAAGTTTTGTCCACCACAATATGTATTTCTAGATAAAGAGGAAATAATTCTGGAACAACTGATTCTGGCTAGGAAAAAAAAAAAAAGAAGAAGAATGTAAAACTTGAAATTTTTAGTAATTTATTTATTCTGAACTCTTTATTAAAGCTGTTGCCAAAGCACTTTCAGGATATAGTAGGATGTTTGCTTCTCACCATTGGTTAATATCAATGTATAGTGCTTTAAGTATTATGGCAATGGAGTCAAGTAATAAGAACATTGGTTATAATTTTAAATCACTCACGAGATCCACAGCTTCCAACTGTAAGCAAAGAGCAGAACACCAACCATTTCTTTTTAAAATATTTATTTTATTTTATTTGTTATTATTATTATTTAATTTGATGAGAGAAAGAGTGAGAGAAAGTGAGAGAGCAAGCCACCAGGTACAAGAATTGAACCATGGTCGGACATGTGGGAGTTCAACACCTTAACCACTATGCCACCTGCTGGCCCCAGAACACCCAGCATTTCTAACCATCTATTCCATTTGCATATGAAAAATTAAACTTCTGCTTTACAAATTATGCTTTTCAACAATAGCCATGGATATGCTATGGAAAATTTTTCAAATAAAAATTAGAATTAAGTTTAAAAGAATATGAATTTAAAATAAAGAAGCAAAACATGTAAAACCTAAAATACTATAGAAGCTAGAAGGCTCTTTGATCCTCTTTGTCATCCCACACTTAACTGAGATTTCATGGCTCTTCCTGCCCAGGGTTCTCCAAGAGGCTAGACACCTAGTATTGGACTAAAAATCCAACAATATCAAAGTTTCTCCTCAGGGAAAGTGCAGCCTTGTCAATAAAGTCAGAAGTCCCCAGAACCACTGAGTGAGGAAAGGCTAAAAGTTGCAACCTGTTATTTTTCTCACTAACGCTTCACTGAAACAGAATCCTAATTCAAAGTCCGGGTATGGAGAATTCTTAATAAACCTCAAGTGAACTGGTGAGGATGCGCTTTCTGAAAATCATCTCTTTTTGAGATCTTTCTGACACTTTGATTTTTAAATGACTAAAATTCTTGGGCCACAATTTTTTTTTTTATCCAAGACTCAACAGATGTTTCTTGACTATCTTTTGATTAATGTTTCAAAAGAAAATTATCCAGTTAGACAGATTTTATGCTCTTAGATGGAATCTGTTTTTTCTTTCATTTTTTTTAACTCTCATTTTAGAACCTACATGCTAAAAGATATCTGATTGTTGATAACTTTTCACTTATTGATTCTGATACCAGGGAACATTTTAAGTTTGCAAATTTTTTTCCACTAATGAAGAATGTTTCTCCCTTTTCATATCAATTCTTACTACTTCTGTTTCATTTTGAATTCATTCTTTAGAAAAACTGATAGGTTGACTTACAGTTCTCCAGCTTCTCTCTCATCAGTTTACCATGTGGTCCTTGTTTCCTGGAATCTGAAAATATCCTCTCTTTTTTTTTTTTATTACACTAGTTGAGCTGAAAATTTTACTCTTTACTCTGTGACATATTTTTAAAACATATCTGAAATCATTGCATTGATCAGGACTTTCATGTTTAAGTATCAGACAATTCAAATTTGCTTCAGTGTACATGTACACACTCATGATACTAAGAAGTCCTAGGACATAGTTCAGTTTACGCTTTTGCTCAGATTAGGACTGTATATCTCCTTCTCTCTAGCCTCTAGCTTTACTGACTAAATTCCAAGAATATAGAGATAAAAGCAGGAACTGAGTTTTTAAAGTCTATGTTGAATAACTTGGCAAAACTTAAGTTTTAGAAATTATCTTATTTCTAGAATAAGGTAAATTTTAGAAAGTGATAAGAAATAACAAAGAAAACAAGAACTAAAATAAAGTGGATTACATAAAGTAAATTATAGATAACTGCAAGCATGGGAATGTTACCTATGGTCTCAAGGAAGTGATTAGGGTAAGGAAAAAGGAGCATGTTCACTAGTAAAGGATGTTTGCTACAGCGGAACAATCAGCTAATAAATTAAGTTTTAAAATAAATTAAATAGAAGCAATCACTGCTTTGAAAATACTCATCAAACATATACGACTCACTTTTGTATTTATAAAAATGGTAGAGTCCATTGGGTGCTCTTCTATGCTTCTGTCAAAATTTTCAAATACATTCTTTTCATTCCCTAATTTATAAACAAGATGCTTAAATTCAATTGCAGATTCCAGAGGCTCAATTCCATAAGAAACATTTTCAAATTGAAGTATTCCTCTGTAAAGAAATAAAATTAGGATGAAATCTTAAGTACTTTTTCTTATCAAATCTATATTATGAAACTCTGACAAAATATCAAAGGAGAAAAAATTAGATGTAGAATGTTTTGAGTCTGGTATGTTGAGGCAAACACTTGTCTCAGAGATGACTCCAAAGAGACAAAGCACATTCTAATCTACAAAACCAACTTTCTATTCAAATTTTTTCATAATTATAAAACAGCAGAAATTATCTAATCAATTATTAGGTGTACAAGTACAGAGTGATCAAGTAATTCCCCCATTTTCCAAGTCAGTGACACAATAAATGCAATAACAAATCAAAATCTTGTTGATGATTACACTGTTTGTATAGCAAAAATATAATGAACAACTGCATTTATAAAAATAAAATTTAGCAATTACAATAAATGAGTTTTGTTTTGTTTTGTTTTGTTTTAGAGAGAGATTTTTGCCATAGGGCCCATGTGCTTGCTAGAAAGACAGAGAGACAGAAAGTAAGAAATCACCCCCCAAGGAGGATGGCCAGCCACAATCCTTGCTCCTCCATTCTCTGCCCCAGATTTTGGGCATGCACACACATGCACCCAGTGTGAGTTTTAAGTTGCTGGATCCAGGACTTGAACCATGGTCAACTATGTGAGAGTTCAGCAACATAACCATTATGCCACCTACATGTGTCAATTTTCATTTTATTTAGGTACATAGTCTGAATAATGCATTTTAAAGAGTTGGGTTGGCCTCGTAGCACAGTGGTTGAGCACTGTGTATTGGGAGCTGGGTCCCACATGGCCAAACATGGTAGAAGTCCTGATCCCAATGCTGGAGCACGTGCATACGTGTCCCAAATCCTAGGAATAGAGAAAGGGAGGAGAAAGTACTGCAGCGTGTCCATGCCCCATTGAGGGGGGGCTCTCTCTTTCTTTTCTTGTTCTCTCGCTCTCCCTCATGAATGAATACACCCTCTGGCAATAGGGACAAAAAGCTTTTAAAGAGCAAACAACTTGTACAACTATTCTGTGAACAGAGGTAACAGTTCAAATCACTATTTCTTAAAAGGCAAATTTCAACTCCAAATTTCAGGGTTCTATGGAAGGAACACTGAAGAACATTTCTTAGTGAAAACAAACAGCCTACTCTACAAAATGAAGACGGAGAATTTCCTGACATAATGGGAAACTCCCTACACATTAGGAAAAAAAAAAAAAAAGTAATTCTTTTCTGTTTTATTTTTTTTTTTTTTTGCCTTAGGGTATGTGTACTTGCCAGAGAGAGAGAAAGGGAGAGAGACAGAGATAGTGAGAGGGAAAGTGAGAAATCATCCTCAGTGGGGATGGCCAGGTCAAAATCCCCTCCTCCTCCATTCTCCTCTTGGGATCTTAGGCACTCACACACCCATGCCTGGTGTGATTTTCAAGCTACCAAATCCAAGACTCAAACCTCTGTGCCATGTGGTGCCCCTCCCCCCCAGTAATTCAAGAAAGTGATACGACTTTTTAAAAATGAGTATTGTTTTGATAATTATTTGTTTATTATATAATTTGCCCCCTCATTCTGAAGATCATTTTCTTGAGAAAATGATACTTTGTTTAGCTTTATTTCTCTTTTTTATCTCTGAACACTAGGATGCTCTCATTGCTGAAAAAGGGGCTGCCCTACCCTTGGCCCTTCGCACATACTGTGGTCAAGCACATTCCATGTCATTTCTGTAGTTCGTCAAATAAATGAAGAAAACATACAGCAAGGAGACCAGGGAGTCTCAACCTTTGAGGAAGTTAGCAATGTCTCTGGTCAGTGAGGGAAGGGAAGAAAAAACAGAGGAGTGAAAATCTGTTCATAAAAAGACATCACTGAAGTCTCCACGTGGGAATGCTCCAGCTCACACAGTATACACAGAGCAAATTCACCGCAGGTAAATGTCGCAATGTAATCAATGACTGAAAATAAATAACCTCAGTCCAGAGCACGTGCTGAGCGTGACAACAGAATTAGGATATCCTTCGACATATCCTTGATAGTAGCATTGAGACTACAAAATAAAAAGTAAAGTGGTTACTTAGGAACTGACAAACTTTCTAACTTTCTATTTCTACACCTGATAGAATGTTTTTTCACAGACTACATGGCTCATATCAATACATGTGAAGTGGCATAAATTCTCTCCAGATTTGCCATTTTTACTATATTTACTTTTTTTTTTTAGAGTATGAATTGGGATTGCTATTTTATACGCTGCTTCTACAGTAAAATATTCTCTCATATTTTAAGTAAAATTATTTTCAAATATATAAGTTTAGGTCATGAATTAAAAGCCAAATATTGTGAGCCTGGATTTCTTTATAATCTTAATACATGGCTAAAAATAGATATATAAAAATAGAAGGACACAGCAAGATTGAAGGGCTAGACACACCATGCCATCACAAACCGAAACAATAATATTCGAGCTACTCTAAAACAGAAAGTGTAGACTTTAAGGCACTAGAGATAAAGAGGGATATTTCATAACCATAAGAGTTTCAATTCACCCCGCATATACAAATATTGCAAGTTCATATTCACTTCATAACACAGCTTCAAAATATATAAAGCCCAAATTTTAAAAACTATTAAAAATATATATACAATCCTAATAAAATACTTTTAAACATAATTTCTCTCAACAACTGATAATCCAAACACTCAGGATCTACCGAAGTTATGAATAGTATTGTCAGTAAACTACCTAACATACATATAGAACACTACACCAAAAAATTGCAGATATACTTTATAAATTAATACATGGAACATTTACAAAAATGAAACAACATTCATTCTGAGCCATAAAGTAGGACTCAACAAATTTCAAGGAACTAAAATCATACAGAGTTTGGCCTCTGAGTATAGCATAATCTAGCTAGTGATACAGGGAGTAATAAAACATTGTCACAGAAAATAAACAATTAATGATTTCCAAAATTCAGTGGTAACACAAATTTTCATATAAATAAATACAAATATTCTTATTGAGAAATTGCTTTAAAATGGAACTAAGGAGAGGAAAAAGGAACAAGTGTAAAGAGTTAAGTGAGGCAAGATGGTGTCCATTCAATACTTGAATAAATTGTTATTGCACTTTAACTATGCACTATAACTTTTCTAGGCACTTATTTTATGTCAATGAATGAAACTAACCAAAAGCCCTATCCCTTGTGAAGATTATATTGTACTGGGAAGACAAAAAAAGCAAGGCAAATAGACAAAATACATGGCACACTGTATATTGATACTTCCACGGAGAAAAAGAACAGGTAAATATACACAGTAACAAGATGAACTATATCATTTAAAGTAGGTGTTAGTCAAGAGTCAACAGGGCAATTTTGAGCAAAGCCCTGAAAGAAAATCAAAGGGAAAGAACATGGGTATTTTGGAAAAGAACATGCATTTGCTTGTTTGGATTTTTTCCCATTTTTTTAATTTATTTTTTTGACTATCAAATTAAGGATATTACCATATATATCATTTTCATCAGAAAATTTTACTCTCTTGGGTCTATAAGGTGCTCCTTCCCTTTGCCTTTGCCTCTCCCACCTATCCTCTACCACCTACTCCCCTTCCTTATAGACACTGGTATCTACACTTATACTCCCCACTCTCATGTCTTCAGACCTTTCTATTTCTGTCCTATTGTGCAGATATTCAATATATCTTGAGTGGGGATATACAGTGTTTGCCTTTCATGGTCTGGCTTACTTTACTTAGCATTGAGTCTTCTATATTCAATCACTTTGAGTCAAATGACAATGTCTCATTGTTCCTTATGGCTGACTAGTATTCTGTAACGTGTTGGTTTTTTGGAAAAGTCATGATGTATTTATCCATGTTTTTCTATGCAAAAATGTGTCATGACATTTCTGACTATATATATGCCATAATCAGTTCTTGGGTACTTTGAGTTGATTCCACATCTTTGCAATTGAGAATAAAAATACTACAATAACTATGGATGTACAAGTGTCCTTCCAAATGAGCATTCTATTATTCTTTGGGTAAAAATCCAGGGGTAGGATTACTGGGATATGTGCTAATACTCTTCGTAGGTTTTGAGGAACCTCCGTATTGCTTTCTGCAGTGGCTATATAAATTTAAACTCCCACCAACAGTATAGGAGGAAAGAATACACATTTGGATTGTAAGAAACAGGAAGTATAAAGTTTTTGTAAGGTGACTTCAGCTGATATGATTGAGGAGCAGCGAGACTAGTGTGGATGGAAAAAATGAACAAGGTAGAGAGTCACGGGAAGTGATGCCATAAGGATAAACTGGAACCCGACTGTAAAGCATATAAAATATTCTAACAACTCAATCCACAGTGGATGAAGGGCTATCCCATGAAGGATTCTGAGTGGAGAAGCAACAAGATCTCATCAGGTTTTGATAGGATCAATCTAGTTGTTATGTTGAGCACTGACTGGACAAGGCATAGAAGTAGGGAGATGGTTCATGAAGTTATGGCAAGGATCTATTCATCTGAAATAAAAAGTCTGCTCAGTTACAGCTCGTATTACAAGACAAAAATTTATTTCTTTAAAATGGAGTTAATATTGTCAAGGCATTCAGGTGGAGTTAGCATTGCCAAAGCATAACCATTAATATAACGTAAGCCTCCTCAGATTCAGCAAGAATTGTAACACTGCAAAATACACACCGTAACACTCCACGAGCAGCATCCCTGGACGGGCGTAAAGGAAGAGGGTGGATTCTGGATTTGTAGCTTGAAGGACAGGATCAAAAAGATTTATTGATGGATGAGATGGGATGGGACTTTTAAAAAGGAAGGTTGTTGACCTGTGATTTGTGTTCAATAAGATTTATGCCTGCCTTTGTTTTTTTAACTCTTTAACTTATATTCATTTATTCAACAAATATAAATATGTAACTATATTATTCTGCATATGTTTGAGTAAGTGTGAAAGGTACTGAGGGGAATCCAGTTTGCCTGTAGTTTACCATGACTTTGAGAAAGGCTAATCATTAATCAATAATTGCCTTTAATAAATCCCCTGGTTGTGCTCAGGGCCTTCTGTATTAGGAAAGCATTTATTCAATGTAAAAAAAGGGTTATTTTAAAAATCTATAAAACGCAGAACTTAAAACTTACCTGGATATCTGAAGAGTGAGAATTCACAGATCCTTGATTATACAAATAAACTATAAAATTATTTGCTAAAAAATATCTGAATGTAAAAAAGAGAGAAGTTTAAAAATTATTCTTTGAAACATACAAAGTGGCAATCAGTAAGCTGACACCCTCAGGCCAAATCGAGCCGCCCTCCGCTTTTGTCATTAAAGTTTTATTGGAACACAGCCACACCTCTTCACTTACATTTTGTCCATGGCTGTTTTCATGCTACCACAGCAGAGCTGAGTAGTTTCGGCAAAGTCTATAGGGTCCTCAGAGTCTAAGTTATTTACTGTTTGGATCTTGAGAGGAAATGTTTGTTGACCCCTGACATAAAGGTTGCATTCTCTTTTGACATGTATTTAATTTTTATTCTAATCAATACCCCGTCTAATCAAAGAATTTTCCTAACCTCACTTCAAAGAAAATAAGGAGAAGGGACAACAAGAAGAGGGAAAAGCATTTAAAAATTAACAAAGACATAAACTGAACGTAAGATTAACAGGGTTGTCTGTTTTAAGTGCTACTATTATGTGTGTATACACACACGCACACACGGGCCAGAAGATGGTGTAGCGGTTATGTCACCGGACTCCCACATGGCTGACCTGGCAGCTTGAAAAGCACACTGGACGCACGTGTGTGTGCCCAAGATCCCGGAAGCAGAATAGAGGAGAAGGGATTGTGGTGTGGCCACCCCCACTGACAGTGATTTCTCACTTTCCCTCTCATTGTCTCTGTCTCTCTCTGTCCTGTGAATGCACATGCCCTAAGGTAAAAACCTCTATCACCCCAAAAAAATACTATATATACTATATATATCTTACTTTCATAATGAAATGGAAGCATATTGTATAAAGGACATTGATCTTAGCATCCTTCCGTGTGTACTGAAATGTCAAGTCCAAGTTCGATCTTCTATCACTCCCTGTCCCTGTGCTCACAGTGCTATTTCAGTTCCACTTCCTTACATCATGCCCACTCTTAGCCCAATATAACTGAACTGTACTGTCCAGACTGGTTTCTACAGGGAAACTGCCAGCAAAACTGACCTCACGAGGTCACTACTAACCTGGTAGCCAAATCCAAAGTGCAGTTTGAGGTCGAATGCCAATGAAGCGCTTGTTCTGTGGATCACATTTCTCTTCTTTTAAACCCGCTATTCTTCAGCTCTAATAATATGTTTCCTCCTGGTCTCCCTCATGTCTGTCTACTCTTAGAACTCCTTTCATCTGGATTCTTCCTTTGTCACCTTAAATGTTTCCCTGATGTTCAATTCTAACCTGTTTTTTCAAATTATTTATTTAATTTTATTTATTATTATTATTATTTCAATTTGCTACAGGGTACCTGCACTCACCAGAGAAAGCAAGCCTCTCCAGCAGTGAGACCACAGTTCTCTCACTGAGGTACATCCTTCTTTTCCCTTTGCTCTACCAAATTCCTGCTACCACTATATCCAATGTTACCAAGTCTTGTTTTCTGCCATGTCAGTATCTCAGAAAAACAAAGACAAAAAAAAAAAAAAAAAAAACCAAACAAAAAAACTTCCTCTACACATTCATAGCTCTATTTCTCATTATTTCTTATACAAGCTACTTGCAATAGCTTCCTACTGATGGCCAGGCTGTCAAAATTATTACTCATGGAATTTCCCGAGCAATACACACATACCCTGTACAGCTCCCCTGTTCTAGTTCCTGTATTTCATAACGGTTTCTAGTCTCGATAAGAGTTCAAATGCGATGAGAATTCTCTCACTTTCCCTTATAAATTCTTAAAAAGATTTTTGGATTGATATCTATCATATTTTTCTATTCTGTGTGAAAGAGTAAGTCCTTTGGGATAAGTCTTTGGCATCTTACACAGTGAATCAGTTGTTAACACTTCCCATCTCTCTCTTTCTCTTACATTTGCTAGAAGGTGCATGTACGTGCTGGAGGGAGACAGAGAGAGAAAAAGGAAAAGTGAGAGAGCACCACCCCATGGGGAGAGTCACATCACAATCACTCCTCCACCATTTCTCCCTCCGTTTGAGATTTTTCACACACGCACATATTCCTGGTGTGTTTTTCAATTAGCCTGTCAGTTGACCATGTGGGATTCAGCCATCTTAACCACCAGCCACCAGCTGGTCCCTTTTTCTCTTTTAAAGAAATTTTTCTTCAGCCAAAATAAAATTTCCTCTGTTTTCTATTTAAAAATACTAATCTAAACACTTCTTCCTTCTTTCTCTTTCCAAAATTTTTAAAAACTCATTTATACCTGCTCCCTTCAGATTTTCATAATCTGCCTCTTACTGATACCATACAGTGCAAGATTTATTCCCAAAATTTAACTGAAATCGTGTTCTTGAACATCACAAACTAATTCCAAGCCATCCTTTCTCATTAGGTTTGCATCCGGGAATGTAACTGCACAGAAAATTATTCAGCTATTTTTCAGTTCTCTGAAAGGTAGCACATAGCTTACACTATTCTTCAAGAACTGTTCACCACCTCCACAGCATTGTAGGCGATCTCATTTCTGCATTAAATCCGAACCTTTTGCTAAAACTGTAAAAATCTGCTTATCATGACATCCAGCCTTGATTATAACAAAGTTCATGGCAGTATAACATCACATATTAGGTCATCGGAAAAGTTGTGATTCATTTTTGCATAGAAAAAAATACATTATGACTTTTCCAACAACCCAAGAGATTACTCCTCAGGAGGTGAGTCCCTATTTTTTCTGTTTCTAACTCTAATTGACTATTTGAGGCATTTTGGATTAAAAAAATGTAATTAAGTCACAGGAGACCTATTTTTCCAAGACAACAAAATTTTTAATAATTACATTTATTATTTTCTCATACTTCACTTTTATTACAACTGAACAGTTTCAATGAAATCCAAAAGCAAGTTTTAAATAAGTTACCTTTGCTTAAGGTGCACAGTATATGGTGTCTCATCTATTTGAATTTTATAGGATATCTGTTCCTAGAAAAACCAGAACATTGGAGAGTGAAGGCAAGTTTAACATGAGAAGCAAAACAACAATTTTACATAAATTACTCCTCAAAACAGTGCTTCAAATGCCTAAGACTATATGTGATTTAAAACATGCACTAAAATATGAAAAAGTTTTAACCCTCATTTGTTATATAATTCATTCTTATTATTCCCATAAAAAGAAAATGTAATCTGAGGAGTTTTGAACGATTAAAAATCTATGTGTGGTGTCCATCAGGTAGCGTGGTAGTTAAAGTGCTGAATCCCACAAGGTCAACCATGCAGTTGGAGCCCTGGACCTAGAAACTTGAAAATCACACCAGGTACATACATGTGCATGCCCAAAATCCCAAGAGAAGAATGGAGGAGCAGGGACTGCAGTGTTACCATCCCCCCTGGGGAGTAATTTCACACTTTCTCTCTCTCTGTCTCTGTCTCTGTCTCTGTCTTTCTCTCTCAGGCAAGCGTACACATCCTATACCAAAAACAAAAACAAAGCAGGGATTTCCATGTGACAGGAGGGTAAACGCTTGCGCAAGTGCTGTGCTGTGCTTAGGCAACACCACGTGATGTGTTGCAGTGCCTACTTAAGTGCCAGTAATGGAATAATAAGGTTTTCTACATCAGTGAGGCTGAATCTATCAGGGACGAAAAATGTTCAACCACTTTCTTTAACATCTTCCTAAGATGTATTGCCTGTTTCCTGTACTTTAAACGAGGAGTCCTGAACAAAACTTGATACCATGTTTGACCCTATTGTTACTACTTTCATGTTAGCACATGGATGGCAACAGGTTGGAATATCTGTAGGTTAGTGAACCGAAGTGATGGGATTTTATCCAACAAAAGACAACGTGTAAAAAGCAAGAGTTAGAGCATCAGTGAGAAGGAAAAATGGTTAAAGCATATAAACATGAAAATATAAGTACAGGGGAAAATACAAATATTTAAGGATCTGTAAAAGTAAGAAACAACAAGAAGAATAAAGTGGATTATTAAAAGGTCTAGCAAACAGTTAAAAATAAAACCATAAGGTTAACCATTAGTCATAAATTGCTATTATGCACTACCTAATATGACGTATCAAGACTTGCCCTCTGTAGTAAACCAAAATTCACAATTGCAGTCCAGTCATTAGAAAACCTCAATTTCAGGAGTGTTCTATAAAATACCAATACTCTGATGTCAATGAAGTACCCTGAACAGAAACAGAACAGTGGAAAATCTGCAGAAATCCAAATAAAATAGCTTGGTTAATAGTGTGCCGCAGGAGGCATAGTGGTTACTTCATTGGACTCCCAGATGGTCAACTGCAGTTCAAGTCCCAGACCTGGAGGCTTAAAAATCACACCAAGGGCATGTGTATATGTGCCCAAGATGCCAGGAGGAAAATGGAGGTGAAAGGATTGCAGCATGGTCAACCACCTTACAGGGTGCCTTCTCCCTTTCCCTTTTACTGTCTCTTTCTCTCTCCAGTGAGTGCACAAGCCCTATGGCAAAACCTCTAAAAATAAAATAGTGTGCCAATGATAATTTCTTAGCTATAACAAATGCTATATCCTGGCATGGTCATAGAAGGTCCAACTTAGGTGAAAGTTTCTGTGTAACTTTTCTGTTGAGTCTAAAATCACTCCAAATTTTAAAAGTAAATTTGAATGAAAAGACAAAAAAAAGTAGAAATAGACTAAGGAAAGGAGCACAACAGTGATATGAAAGATATAAGGCAGAAATGCCGGGTAGAATATCCTGATACTAAAGCAGCCGGGTGTCCTGGCTTAAATTTCTTTTTCTTTTTTTATTAATTAATTTATTTATTTGCATTCATTCACTGTACATCATTACAGTATACAAAATGAGATTGTCCATCCACAGTCAACTGTATATTGTCTCAATCAATCACAGCAACAAGAGTACACTGTATATTGTCTCAATCAATCACAGCAACAAACATGTTATTGTCAGCAAATAATGGAGTACATTTTTTTGTTTGTTTTTTTTTAGAAAGAGATTTTTGCCATAGGGGCGTGCACTCTCTGGAGAGACAGAGGCAGAGAGCAAATGGGCATGCATGCACATGTGCCCCATGTGAGTTTGAAGTCACCAGGTCTGGAACTCAAACTGTGGTCAACTACATGGGAGTCCAGCGACATAACCACTATGCCATGTGCTGATCCCCAGATGCTGGAGCATTTTTATCTTCTTTTAATGTGCACTTGATGGGCAAGTATTCCCCTAAGCAGTTCTTGAATAAATAGTTTCTCAGAACAACCTTTTAGTAATTGTTAAGATGTTAACATACCACATAATGCTCCCTTTAACTATATTTTTACTCTGGGTACTAGGATGAAATGCCTTTTATTTTCAGACTATATACAGAGATGTATCTAGACCTTTAAAATGTGTAGAGGGGTTGAGTAATGATGACCATAAGGTAATTTATTGAACAATAACAGCACATTTGTGTTTTGATCTCTGATAACAGGCAAATAACCTAAGTTGTGATGATAGACAGTTGTAAATATTTATGCACCCAATAGCAGAGCACCAAAACGTATTTTAAAAACAACATTACTAGACCTAAAGGGAGGTGTAGACCCTGATACAATAGCAGTTGGGATTTCAACATCCCACTCTCAGCATAGGACAGATCATCCAGACAAAATCATCAAGGAAATGTCGAATTAAACGGCACTATAGGTCACATGGGCCTGACATTTAAAGAGCATTTCAACCAACAGACAGAAAACATGCGTTTTTCTCACTGGCACATGGAACATTCTCTAGGACAGATTATATATTAATCCATAAACCAGGTTCGAAGTTTTTAAAAGTAGAAATAACATTCAGTATCTTGGCCAATAATGATGACCTAAAATTTGAAAGCAATAATAAGAACAACTCTGGATTGGGGTCAGCAGGTGGCATTGCTGTTGAGGCACTGAACTCCCACATAACCAACCACTGTTTGAGTCCTGGACCTGGAAGCTTGAAACTCACCCTGGCCTTGTGTGCATGTGTGCCTAAAATCCTGAGGGGAAAATAGAGGAGAAGGGAATGTGGCAGGGCCATCCCCCCCAGGGGAAGGGGATTTCTCACTTTCTCTCTATATATCTCTGCTGTGAATACATGTACTCTATAGCAAAAATCTACAAATATATGAAAACTAAATAATATTATGCTCCTGAATGACTACTAGGTGAGTGAAGAAATTGAGAAATAAATTTTAAAGTTTCATGAAACAGTGAAAATGTAAATAGAACATACCAAAACCTATGGGAGGCAGTGAAAATAGTACTAAAAGGAAATTCTGCAACACTAAATGCCCACACCATAAAAAAAAAAAAGGGAAAGATAGCAAATACACAGTGTAATGATTCACCTTAAAATCAAAAGCAAACTAAACCCCAAAGTAGTTGATGAACTTTTTATAAAGATCCAAGCAGAAATAAATGCAAAAAAGACTAAAAACATCAATACAAAAGATCAACAAAACAAAAAGATACTTTTTTCAAAGAATTAACACTGATGAACCATTAGCCAGACTAAGGAAAAAAGAATGACAACCCAAATAAATAAAATCAGAAATGAAAAAGATACATACAGAGACAAAAGAGCATTAGAGATAATGTGAACAATCATTACCAATAAACCTAGAGAGGATGCTTAAATTCCTGGACACATACTATCTATCAAGATTGAACCAGGAAGAAACATCGGGTTGTCGGAAAAGTCACGACACTTTTTTTTATGTTTTTCTATGCAAAAATATATCATGACTTTTCCAACAACTCATAGAAAGTCTGAAGAAACCAAATACTAAGCAACAAGATTGAAATAGTAGTAAAAAGTCTCCTAAGAACAATAAAATTAAAAGCCCAGGACCAAATGTTACATATGTAATATTTTTTAAAAGAACTGAAATGATTTCTTCTTAAAATATTTCAAAAGATTCTAGTGGAAAGTTTCTTTCCAAACCCCACATGAAACCCAAAACAGACCAGAATGCACAAGAAAAAGAACAAACCAAAAGAAAACCTACAGACCGATATACTCAGTTGAATGGAGAAAGGAATCAAACTTCAACATTAGGGAAAACCACCAAGCTGTGCTAAACAATAAGAGAGGGAGAAAGGAACAAAGAAAATATACAATGACCAGAAAATAACAAAATGACAGCAGTACTTCCTCACTTACCAAGAACAACCTTGAATATAAATGGATTAAAACCTCCAATTAAAAGATATAGACGGGGGAATAAGCGAAATGAAAATTTCCCACTGATCATTCAGCCTCCGGCCCACAAACTCGAGTGGAGAGGCAAGGGAGCAGGACTTCAGAAGACACCTTCATGGCTCCTGACGATAACATGCATGATTAAGCCACCATGCAGTATATTCTGGATGGGAAACCACGTTTTGTGTGCTGTGACGATGCTTAGGCGATGAATGTAAATTAATTCATTTAAAAAAAAAAGTTTCAGGAGAAAAAAAAACACGAAAACTGTTTTTCTTGAAATTAAAAACAATGCATATTTGCTGACTGCAGTAAGCTATATAGCCCCAGCGAGGTGCTGCTTTATAGCATGCTCATTCTACTCGCTGAGGTTTATGCCTAAAGTCAGGCTTGTGTTCATAGATATGTGTATGTCAGCTGCATTTGCCATTGGGAATACTTAGATGAAGTTCATTAGCGAATCAATAAAATGGGGGGAAAGGCACAGAAAGCAACCATGGCTACCAGAGACAGTGTGGGAGGAGGGTGGGACACGGCAGAGGGTGAGAGATAGGGAATCAAGGATGGCAGAAAAAAGCAAAATATACAGGAAACAAGAAATGGAAAATTATTTGTTGATGATAACACATATGTTGATGTGCTTGACTGAGCCAGTATACAGTGTATTCTGGATGAGAAATCTCATTTTGTATGTTGTAATGATGTATAGTGAATGTATGTAAATAAATAAATTAAATTTTTAAAAAATAATAACAAATAAAAATTAAATAAATAATTGTTTTTTAAAAAGATATAGACTGGATGAAATTTTAAAAAATAAAAAAATAAAAAAATAAGACACGACTAGATGCTGGCTGTAAGAAACCCATCTCACCTGTAAATATGCATAGACAGAAAGTGAAGGACTGGAAAAAAGATACTCCATGTAACAGAAACCAAAAGCAAGCAGGAGTGCTATACACACATCAAATAAAACAGAATTTATGTAAAAAAATTATAAAAAGCAATAAAAACGAACATTGCATAATGATAAAGGGATCAATGCAGCAAGAAGATACAAAAATTATAAAATATATGCACACAACAGCCAAGCACCCCATGACAAAGTAGCTAATATTAGCTCTAATGACAGACGAATGGAGAGAGAAACTCCAACACAACAGTAGTTGGGGTTTTCAGTATCCCACTCTTGGCACTGTACAGATCACCTAGGCAGACAATCAACAAAGAAATAAGGGATTTAAACTATGCTAGACACCAAATAGACCTAACAAGCATTTACAGAATATTTCATCCAATAGCTGCAGAATACACATTATTTTTTACCAGCACATGAGATATTATCCAGGATAGACATGGTATGCCACAAAACAAGTCTCAACAAATGTTTAAAAATCTAAATCATATCCAATATCTTTTCTGATACAATGGAATTGGAGCTAAAAGTCCATAACAAAAGGAATGTTGGAAACCATACACATACATAGAAATTAAACAGCATGCTCTTATAAGACCACTAGGTCAATGAAGAAATTAAAAAAGAGGCCAAAAAAATTTCTGAAACAAATTAAACTGTAAACATAAACTATGAGATACAGTACAGCAAAATCAAGAGAGACGTTTACAGTAATAAATACCTATATCAAAAAGTAGAAAGTTTTCAAATAAACTAGTGTACACCTCAATGAACTAGCAAAGCAAGAACAAACCAAACATAAAATTAGAAGAAGGAATGAAATAGTAAAGATCAAAGTAGAAATACATGAAATTGAGAAACACTCAAAGTATAAAAAAAATATTAATCAAAAGTTGGTTTTTTGCTTACTTATAAAAGAACAAAGATTAATAAATAGGTAAGGGATTTTTTTAAAAATGTCAAAGGGCATGTGCACTCAGCAAAGACAGACAGGGGAGGGAGAAAGAGACTGAAAAATGGAAATCGAGAAAGCACCCCTCATAGTGAATGATCGTGCTGCAATTCCTTCTCCTCCATTTCTCCTTCCTTTTGAGATTTCGCACATGCACACACATGCATCCCATGTGTTTTTCAAGTCACTGGGTCAGGGACTCAAACTGCACAGTTGGCCATATGGGATTCAGCCACCTGGACTATCACATCCCCAGCTGGTCTGAGAAGTGATTTTTGATAAGTAGATTTTAGCTTTTAGCTTTTCTTTTCACAACAATTAACAACATGAGATGATACATTAATATGCTTCATTATGGTCATCAATGTACTATCGACTGGGTTGTCTGGAAAGTCATGATGCATTTTTGCTTAGAAATACATGTCATGACTTTCCCGACGACCTAATATATGTGGTTATGTATGTCAACATCTTTACGTATCTCGTGGTATCATACTGTAAACCTCAAATATACGCCATAAAATTTACTTTAAAAAGACTTCAAATTCATTATCATTAGTAATGTTAGACACTTATAGTCATACTCTATGTCTATGTAATAAAAATAATATATGTGATATAATGATTTAGGTTGCGAAAAATCTCTCTTACATGTTTTACTTCTAAATTATCACTTGAACTTTCTTGGATTTTCTCTGGAATAATGATTTGTAGGAATGAATTTTCATAACCTGAAGGAATAAATAATAATAATAATTAGTAACCCTGACTTAAATTTAAATAAATAAATATTCCATTCCTTTCATAAAGTATAGTTAGGGTTGGCTCATCACTGTCTACTCCTATTAAAAACTCTAAAGACACTTAAGTTGCAAAAAAGATGAGATACATATGACATACCCAAGGAGAACTATGGAAGAGACATTCAACTTACACAGAATTTGCTGCTCCTGAAAAAAGAATAGACAAAAAAGAAAAAGAGAGAAAGAGAAAATAGATAGGAGAAAGAAAGAAAGAAAGAAAGAAAGGAAGGTAGGTAGGTAGGTAGGTAGGTAGGTAGGAAGGAAGGAAGGAAGGAAGGAAGATAAATCAACTATAGACTTCCAGAAAACAATTAAAACAATTGACTAGAAAGTACACCATATTTCAGGACTGACTAGTTCACATGCGCTTGTCACTGAAGACAGGCAAATTTCTCCCAATAGAAATAGAAGTGCACTGGTGGTCAAGGGCGTAGTAATGAGCATTAAATAAACTTAAATATAGAATAAAGGCTGAAACAACTGTGGGAATCATAGTTATAAACAGATGCAAATGTTAAAAGTTACGAGATGGGGCCATCAGGTAGCATAGAGGTTAAGGCACTGGACTCCCACATGGCCGACTAAGGTTCAAGTCCAAGTCTCAGCAGCTTGAAACTCATGCCAGGTATGCGTGCGTGTGTGCCCAAAAATCCCAAAAAAGGAATGGAGGAAAAGGGACTGCAGTATGGCCATCTCCCGTGGGGAGTGACTTCTCACTTTCACCCTCTCTGTCTTTTCAGTGAGCACATGCACCCTATAGCAAAAACCTCTTAAAAAAATAAAAGTTACAATAATATAAACATCATTCCAATTTTAGTATGTGTGCTGCCAAAGCGAGCAAATATAAACATAATATACAAAACAATGTCTGGATGTGTGGCAGAGGGTAAGGCCAGTAAACATACTGATTTCTTTAAATTTACTGTAGAAAGCGGTTTTAAAAAAGTGACTTAAAGAAGCAAACAAGTATAGAAGTAGAAACATATTGTTTCAGGGTATAAAGGTACTGGGAAACTACAATTTAAAATAACCATATTGGGCCAGCAGATGGCGTGGAGGGTAAGGCGGCTATGTGGGATCCAGCTGCCTTAACTTCCTCTCCACCTGCTGGACCAGTGATGGCTATTTTTAATCTGGTTCCAGTCCCAGACTAGCATCTTGAAAATCATGCTGAACATGCATGCATGTGTGCCCAAATCCTGAGAGGACAATGGGGGAGAAGCGATTGCAGTGTGGCCATCCACAGAATAAACAAAACAAATCACACATTTGTATAGTGAAAGATGTTTTACCAAAGCAAAAGTATGAAAGCAGACAAGTGTGAGGTTTGAAACCAAATAACTCATATATCAAACTGTATTGCAATTATGACTAGGTTACGTTGTTCCAAAACATGTACAAGATCACATGTGGAGATGGGCATCATCAGATGTCAGTGACCATGAAGATCTGGTCCTTCTGATGGCTAAGGCAATGGTTCTACTGTCTACCCCAAGTGAGGAAGTGGTGGCAGTGTGTGTTCAACATAATAGTCCATGATGTTGGTCTTTTTCCTGGTGGTTTGATGCTAACCATGTTGTAGTACCTATGCAGCATCAAATCTTCCTCTGGTTCTTGCTAGGATTTTGTGATCCCAACATTCTTTTGCACATGGTACCAGTATACAGCTGGAAAACCCAGAAGATCCATCAGAATTTATTATTGTATAATAAAGATTTAATAATATAACTGGGAATAAAATCAATATATAAACAAGTCAATTGTCCTCTGAAGTACAAAAAATAATAATAATAATAATAAGATTTAAATAGACCCTCTCGCTGAGTATTTTTATCCAATTGAGAGTCTTTACTGAGGCTTTACTGCTCAAAATCTCATCTTTTACTATTTAGGATCTGAATATAACCACCATCTGTGTTGTTGTTCTTGCTCTAGGGCATGTGTGCTCACTGGAGAGAGACAGAGAGAGAGAGAGAGATAAAGGGAGAGGGAAAATGAAACATCACCCTCCTGGCCACACCACAATCCCTTCTCTTCCATTCTCCTTTCGAGATTTTGGTCAAGCATGTCCACACATGTCCTGGACGTGCTTTCTAGCCACTAAGTCCAGGACTCAACCATCTAGTCAGCCATGCGGGATCCAGCCATATTAACCACCAAGGCTGGCCCTCGATCACCTTTTAAAATGCTGTAAAGATCCCAGATTTCTAGACTTATTTTATTTCTATTTGCAAACTAGCTAATTTTCTCTGAAATAATCTTTCTTTTAATACTTTGCCAAGTGTGGGTAATGGAATCAACCTCCACTACTAATATTCTGTCATTTAATGTCCGTAGGATGTAGTCTGACATACAGCTTTCTATAATTTTACCAAATGTCTGTGACATCCTAGCACGGATCTTGGTTTTTCCAACTAGCTCCAATTTTCTTGTCACTTGCCATCCATCACCCACCAGACATGGTCCAACAGCCAGGTCACAGGCTATATTTTAAGTCTGTTATGGCAGCAGATCACTCCGAGTCCCAATTTCTGCATTAGTCAACTTATGCTAACCAGATTATGTCATGGTAATAAATAAACCCTGAAATCTTGATGGTTTGACAGAATAAATGTGTATTTGTTTTTCATACAAAGTCTGATGAAAGTCGCCAGGAGTTCTCATTAAAGAAATGACTCAGAAATCCAGGCTCTCTTCAAGCGGTGACACAACAAGCACCTAATGGCCTCTAAGGTCGCTGAGAGAAAGAAATGACATATACTGAATGCCAGTGTTCACTTTAAAATTGTTACGTTTATTTTATATAAATTTTATCTTCATTAACTCTTTTCTTAGAGAGATTTTTGCTATAGGGTATGTGTGCTCACCAGAGACAGAGAGAGAAAGAGAGACAGAAAATGAGAAATCACCCTCCAGGGGTCATGGCCATGCCACAGTCCCTTCTTCTCCACTCTCCTCTTGAATTTTGGACATGCACACACATACACCTAGTGTGAGTTTTAAGCTGTTGGGTCTGGGACTTGAACCACAGTTGGCCACATGGAAATCCAGTGACATAACCATTATGCCATCTGCTGGTCCCACTTTCACTAATTTAATTTAAAATAATTGGAGGGACCAGCAGTTAGCATAATGGCTATGTCAATGGACTCCCAAGTAATCGACCGCGGTTCGAGTCCCGGACCCAGTGGCTTACACTCATGCTGGGTGCATGTGTGTGCGTGCCCAAGATCCCGAGAGGAGAATGGAGGAGAAGGGATTGTGGCGTGGCCATCCCCCCTGGGGGGGGTGATTTCTCGCTTTCTGTCTCTCCGTCTCTCTCTGTCTTTCTGGCGAGTGCACGCTCCCTATAGCAAAAACCTCTCCAATAAATAAATAAATAAATAAATAAATAAATAAATAAATAAATAAAAATCATTGGAAAAATAAAACCTATAAGATAGTTCTATAAATGACTGCAAATAAAATGAGCTATTTCTAAACTATATAACTAGACTATGGCTGAGAAAAAAATTAATGAATAAACCTATACAGAAGGAAGAGGAGACACAGAAAGAGGTAAGCAAAGAAAAAGGAACAAGAAGAGTCAGAAGCTCTGAATAGTTTTACAGGTCAGTTCTACCAATCAAAAAAAGCATCATTCCTATGATTCTTAGATACATCAACCTTTCAAAAACATGAAGTAAGGACTTTAAGGTACATGCCTTTTGTAAGGGTTTTCATAAATCACCATAGAAGTTAGTTAAAGTGCTGGCCATGGCTGTGTCTACTGCAGACTGAGGAATTATGCCACATAGATCTGTCTGAATATAGCCTGTCAAAAAGCTCTGGCTTGGATGCTCTTTAAGTGGAACATCGGGCAGGCCTTCCATTTTTCCTTCTGAGGTAGATGAGGACTTGGAGGGCTTTCTGGTGCTGGCAAGCACTTGACTCACCAAGACAGACAGAATTCTAAAAGCAGCAGAGTTAAATCACATATGAGAGAGTCTCCATTAGACTATCAGTTAATTTCTCACCCTTAACCCTGAAGGCCAGGAGAAAAGGGGATGATGTATCCAAAGTACTGAAAGAAAAAACTTCCAGCCTACAACACTATCCTTCAGAAATAAAAAAGAAATAAAGTATTCTCCAGACAAACAAAAGCTGGGGAATTTATTATCGATAGACCAGCCCTAAAAATACTGCTTAAGGGAGTGCCTCAATTGGAAGTGAACACATGATAACTACTCTTTCTTTTTTTTTTTTTTTTTGAGCGGTTTCTGCTATAGGGCACGTGTACTCACCAGAAAGACAGAGAGAGACAGAAAGCGAGAAATCATCCCCCAGGGGGGATGGCCACACTACAATCCCTTCTCCCCCATTCCCCTCCCGGGATCTCAGGTATGCATGCACAGGTGCCCAGCACAAGTTTAAGCCACTGGGTCCGGGACTCGAACTGCAGTTGACTGCATGGGAGTCCAGTGACACAGCCACTATGCCAACTGCTGGTCCCAATAGTTACTGTTCTTAAATATAAATTTCACTGATTGATATAAAATTACCAAATTCAGAATATTCCAATCTTTCAAATCTTTGTATGTAGGTTAAAAGTCAAAATGGTCACTAATAACTAGAGCTACAATAAGATGTTAAGAGATATATAATATAAAGATACAAATTATTGAAACAAAACTATAAGTTGCAAGGCAAATAAAAATCTACAGTATTCATATACAATCTGAACTAAGCTGCTATTAGCTTAAAATAGTTATAAGATTTTTCACATTAGCTCCATAATAACCACAAGAAAAAAAAATTACATCTGATACAAAAAGAGAAAGGACACAAGCTTATTGCTACAGAAAACCAAGAAAACACAAACATAGGGACCAGCAGTTAGTGTAATGGCTATGTCACTGGACTTCCATGTATTCGACCGCGGTTTGAGT